CAGAGATGTTAAATAGGAAAAACGAAGTCTTAGAATCAGTGGAATGTGGGATTGTCCCCTCTACACACTTCGGTGCCCTCCACATGTATTTTTCTCTTGCCTCTGTGTCCACCTGTGCCTGATAGGGTTTGGGAGGCAGGGCAGGGATTGCTGTGTGAAAACTCTCCTGTTCTGCAGCCTGACGGGAACAGTTTTTCTTTCCTCTTTGGAAAAACTGAGAGGAGAAGTAGGCAAGCAGCTTCAGTGATCCATCCTTCATTCTTAATAACAGCTGACATTTATCCAGTACTCTCTATGTGCCAGGTACTGTCCTCAGCACTTTAGTAGCTCATTTAATGTCCCAACAACCCTATCGGGTAAACACTATTATTATTATCATCCCCATTTTACAGATGACAAAACAGAGCCCCTCTGCTCTAAGGGCTCCCTACCCCCTCACTGTGGCCCTGGGCAGGGCAGGCATGGCCCCTATGTCTGGTTTTTCCCCCTCTCCCTGGAAAAGCATAATCCATCCTCAGGGTCTGAGGTGATGCGGAGAAAGGAAGTGGCACTGGCAAGGAGAGAGGTCCCCAGGGCATGACTCAGGGAATAACAGGGGTTTGGGGGAAGGGAGGCTCCCTTATCGACCTGAGACCTGTCCACTTACATTGCACCTTGGACCCTCTGGCCGACACCCAACTGGACAAATGGACCAACTGATGGCCAAGGATTTGGCCAAGGTCACACAGCCAGGCAGCTGTTGGCTGGCACTAAGCCCCATGTCTCCTGTTTTACCATGAAAGGCCACTTTTCCTTCTCTCCCATGTCCATGTCTTCTCTTTACTTACCTGCAAAGCCAAGGAGCTGTGCTGGTGCCGGTCGGTTCCTTGGCAGTAATGATAGCACTAATAGTAGTTAAAATTTATTGGCTGCGTACTCTGTGCCAGGCACAGGCATCAGGGACTGCAGACTCAGAAACCTGGAGTGGCAGGGCAAGTAAGGTCACTGAGGGAGGCAAGCCAGGCAGGAACTCTGATGGCCTGGAGGGTCAAGGCTCTGGCTAAATGGGGGACAGCAACTGCTTAGCACCATGATGGCCTGGCTAGTATTGCCAGATATTAGTTTTAAAAGAAACAGTAATATTTGAATTTTTATATAGTATTTCCCAATTAAAAAAATTTGTAACGAATTCGTAATTCAGAAAAAATACTCTGTAGGCAAATTAAATCATACCTGTGGGCCAGTTTGAGAACTCTGCTGGTCCTGTTTTCTCAATTAACCCTGACATCTATCCTGTAAAGGAGCCTTTGCCCCTCGTTCTGTGGATGGGGCAAGCAAAGCCCTTCTAGAGGGTACATCACTTCCTCAAGGTCGTCTAGCCAAGCCACATAGTTGGGGTCTGCCTGACTTCCAAGGCTTGCCCCTGCGTTAGCCGCAGATGGGGAGGGAGGGCTGTGTTCAGACACAGCCGGAACTGGCATGGCGACAGAACGTCTCCAGGGACTGTAAACCGTCAGTCAAAGGGAGAATTCAGTGTAGCAACGAGGGATCATTCGAGACAACCATGATGTTGCAGACATCAGACTCCCCGCCTCCCTCTGCCAGAACTCAACAATGGCTTTCTCTGTGCCCCTTAATCAAATTAAGTCACCACAGAATCATTTCTCCCAGTTAGGCACTTCATGTTTGGGGACTTTTTTTTTTCAAGCTAAGAATGTATGTTTAGGGAGGTGGTGTGTGTGGAATAAATACCTTTGAATTATTTGTGTCATTTGTCAAACTTCTTAATTAGCGTATTGTGCAGGTACGTAGAAATAATTCTGACTCTCCCACTGGACTGTGATCTCCAGGTATCAGAGCTGGGTCTGTTTTGCTTTCAGCCATCTCCCCAGCACCTAGCACAATGCTGACACATAGTAGGTGGTTAGTAAATATCTGTGGTTTGAATGAGTGAGGCTCATTCAAGCAAGTGAATTGACTTGTCCACGGTCACACAGACCAAGGTTCCTGTTGACATCCACTTGATTTAGAAGCTCATGTTATCACTTCTACACCATCCTGCCTCTTGGCAAGAATCGAGGGAAAAGCGTCTCCAGGGCCAGGATCACGGGCCCAGGAGCTTCCAGCCCCTGGATTCCTCTACGGTAAGGGGTTGGTGGAGGTGGTGATGACGGTAAGCCACTCTCCACCCTAGTACCTTTGGGAAACCACACATAATCTTGACAGCCCCAAGCCTGGCTCTTGGGGTATTTACGGAGGATGACGGGGTATGAGGGCAGGCCCTCCTGGGCTTTGCCTTGAAACAGGCCAAGTTCCCATCTCAGTTCTGCTTTGTGACCTTGAGCTGCACTTCCTTCCTCCTGCACCATGTGGATAAACAACCTTCACTTATGGGATTATCAGGTTGAAAGGAGATCATCAATGGAAGTGGCTGCCTGGTAATTGTGGATGTTTTGGAAGCTTCCCAGCCTCAAGAGAACTGTTGATGTTGAAAATGGCCTTATCAGGATCTGCCAGGCTTGGGGCCAAAGGGACCCTATCTCTCAGGCCTTTGCTGCTTTTGAGTGGGTATTAATAGATACAGAAGGCCCTTATCTCTTCCTTGATTTCACACCAGGAATTCTGGTCTTCACTCCTTTCTGCTGCAGCAGGGCAGGAGGGATTGTGGGAAGGAGGGCACCAGCTTCTACCTGGGAGGCTGTGGACTTGAATACTTCAGGGAGGGCAGGGCTCTGAAAAACCCCTGGCTTTAGCTTCACCAAGCCTGCATAATAGCCTTTTCCTCTGCTAGGGAAGCTCACGCCCTTTGGGACTCAGTTTCCTCATCATAAAATGGGGCAATAATAACAGTATCTGTCTTCCAGCAACCAGGACAGTGCTTGGCGCATGGCAGGTGTTCAATAAGTGTTTGTTGAGTGACTATTGGATATGAGAGGGCTTTACAAAAGTGAATGTTACTGTTATTGAGATGCTTTTGGAAGATGTGGAGGAAGGAATCTCCATCTGGAAGGGGGATGTTGCAGGCTTCTCTCACCCTCTGTCAGGGTCTGGCTTGGTTATTTCAGATGAGACCTAGCATTCCAATAGGAGCTTCTCTCACTGGGGAGGAGAGAGTGACAGGCTGGCCCCAGGGATAGGAATCCAGTGTAGGCCTGATTCTATCACTGGCTGGCTTCACAGGTCTCTACCCCCGAATGGGCCTCAGTTTTCCCATCTGTGCAGCAAGAAGCTTGCATAGTCTCAGTGGTCCCTTCCAGGGTTGACACAGTCTAGGATTTGCAGCAAGTAATTTCACAGACTGCTTAGGAAACTCCCACTGCTTTCCTAAACCACCTCATAATTCATGAAACCCCTTCAGATCCCTTAGGCTTTTCATCCTCACGGCACCCCGGAAGGGGCCAGGGCTATGTGCCCATTTTACAGATGAGGAAACTGAAGCTGAGAAGTACCCTCGAGGGGCTGGAATTTGAGGCTGTCCCACACGTTTTGGTTATACAGGTATACCACTTTGTTCTCAAATGGGAAAGTACAGAAAAACTACCTGGAATGGGGGGGAGGGGTTGCTTGTGAAAATGTGGATTGCCGGGCACTTGGGGATTCTTAATTGGCAGGGCTGGGGTGCACCCAGAGTTAACAAGAGCCCAGGTGATTCTGTAGCCAGGGCCCTAAGGACTACTCTCGGACAACCAGGGCTCCCTGTTGCATTCTAGGTGGCCTGTGGCATGAGCCTCTGGTTTCTTTCCTAACCCTTCTCAGTACCTGCTCTGGGCCAGGCCAGTGGTGGGAAGAAGCCCTGCTGGAGCTCCCAGTCTGGTAGGGGAAGTAGATGGAGAAACCAAGTGTGTGGTCAGTGCTGGAACAGAGGCAGCATCGGGCAATGGAGGACTCTGGGGGGCTCCCTGGAGGAGGTGATGTATATACTGGGCCTAGGGACTTGATTCTTGTTTGTGTCTCAGCTACTTTTTTTCACGTGGGTCATCTCCACAAGATGACACAAATTCGTAGAAATTATCAATTTCACATCTTTGCCCTCAGTGCTGGCACAAGGCCTGGCACAGAGGAGAGGACAATATTGGTCAAATCAGCTGACCTGAGCAATGAGAAATGGCTGATGGAGAGGTCCCAGGGCCTCCGGATTAAATGCATTTTCATGCTCAGCACCCTCACCTCCTCCCTTTGTGAGGTCTAACATGGAGTTAGTTTAACGGTGGAAATTCCTCATCGTGTAGTAAACATTTGTTACCTCTCTGTTCCCCTAAACTGTGAGCTCCTGAGGGCCAGGAGTCAAGAACGGGACACAGAGCAGGCTCTCAAGTTTGTTGAATGAATGAGTTCAAGCAGGAGCTGTGTACGGGCTATGGAAGAGATTCCAGCTAAAACGGGTCTTGCAGGAAAATCCCAAACTGTATTAGGCCAGACGTCCCTCCACCACTCCTGGCATCCCCCTTCTACTTGGGCTCTGGGTGACAAAGGTAGGGCGGGTGCAGGATTTGGAAGGAAAGGGCAGAGGCTGGGCAAATTGAGGATGGGAGATGTAGCTGGGGCTTTGGAGGTGGGCCTGAGAACCTAGAAAAGAGGGGCGGTTTCTAGAAATCTGGGCTGAGGGTGTTGGGGCTACAGGTGGTGGCTGTGGTGGGGAACTCCGAGGGTCACGTGGGGTCTGCTGATGGTGAGAGGTGCAGAAGCGACGCTCAGTCCCAAAGGTCTCCAGACGGATCAGCAGGTGAGGTGTGTCGGGGCGGGGGCGGGGCCACCACGCCTCGAGCCCAGGCCTTCGCGGCTGGGGGCGGGGAGTGCGACCGCCCAGGGCCCCGCCCCGACAAAGCCTGCGCGCGCCCCGTCCCGCAATTGGCCGCACCGCCTCGCGCCGCCGCCCCGTCCCGCCCCCCGCCGCCGGTCCGGCGCGCTGCAGCCAATGGGCACGGTCGCCGTCGCCTCCGTCACGGCCCGGCCAGCCAATGGTGGCAGCGCTCGGCGGCGCGTGGCTCTTTCGCGGCAAAAAGGATTTGGCGCGTAAAAGTGGCCGGGACTTTGCAGGCAGCGGCGGCCGGGGGCGGAGCAGGATCGAGCCCTCGCCGCGGCCTGCCGCCATGGGCCCGCGCCGCCGCCGCCGCCTGCCCCCCGGGTCGCGCGGGCCGTGAGCGCCATGGCCGTAGCTGGGGCCCCCGCGGGCGGCCCGTGCGCGCCGGCGCTGGAGGCCCTGCTCGGGGCCGGCGCGCTGCGGCTGCTCGACTCCTCGCAGATCGTCATCATCTCCACCGCGCAGGACGCCAGCGCCCCGCCGGCCCCAGCCGGCCCCGCCGCGCCCGCCGCCGGCCCCCGCGACCCCGACCTGCTGCTCTTCGCCACGCCGCAGGCGCCCCGGCCCACACCCAGCGCGCCGCGCCCCGCGCTCGGCCGCCCGCCGGTACGGACACCCGGGACTCTGGGCCAAGCGCGCTGCCAGGACCCCCGCGCAGACCCAGGCGGGGCGCGGTGTTTGGCCCGAAGGCAGCGGGGGCGGGGGAGGGGGTGCTGAGGCTCCCGGGCTGGGCGGTGCCGAGCCTGGGCTGGGCCTCCGGGCCCCGCCCCGGGGTGCAGGGTGACCTCGGGCCAGTCCTTGTTTGCTTCTCTGCGCCCTGGGCCTCAGCTTCCTCACTGGAGCCGCGCGTGGGTCAGACTCAGATAATAATGGCCCACGTGTATTCACCTGGCGCTGACTGCCTGTCAGGCCTCTGGCGAACTTCGAGCCAGCTAAAACTCATAACCACGCTCTGAGCTCGGTGACCCATCTGAACTGAGGCTCAGAGAGGGGAAGCGACTTGCCCCCATCACAGGGCTCAAAGTGGTGAGACTGGGATTTGAACTGAGGCCCGCTGGCTTCAGACCAGAGCTTGTGGCCGGGTGGTGGGCACGGTTGCTTGGGGAAGTGAAGGGGGGCATCCTGGGGCCAGACCTTTGAAGGGCCATTAAGGAGACCCTCCTTCCTGCCTCAGCGCTTGACTGCCAGGTGCAGGCCTGGCCCTCTGGGCCTCTGGGGACAGGCCTCCTGGCTGGGAGGCCTTCTCTGAAGGGGCGGGGTGGCTGGGCCAGCTGCTGATCCCCTCCCTCTGCCTGTCCTTCCATCTGCCACCCTCCACCCGCCCAGGGCCTGGTTGCCATGGAGCCTCATTAATCAGGCAGGCAGACCCCTGGGCCCCTGTGGAAGTACTGGGTAGGCTGGGCCTCTGGGAGATGCCTTGATAAAGTGCTCCCTGAGCAGCAAGAGGCTCAAGACCAGGTCAGACTGGGGGGCCCAGAAGAGGCAGCTGAACTGCAGGGGGAGAAGGGAGTGGAGGCCTGGAGCTTGGACCTGTGGGCTGCGGGACAGGGTGTGGAGACCAGTTTGACTGGCACAGCCTGTGGGTGAAGGTGGGGCAGGCAGGAGGGGTCTCAGCAGGGGGCTTGGAGCAAGTAGGAGGGGTGAGGCAGGGCCCTGCGCAGGGAGATGGAAGCTGCCCAACTGCTGATGGGGGCCTGGGTGGCAGCTGGTCCCTGAGGCATCCAGACAAGGCTCCCCCAACCTCATTGGCCCCATGCCCACTGCTGCCTTCCGGAATCACCAAGATGCTAATAATAATAACAATAGCAGCCACTATTGTTTTGAGACTGTTTTGTGTGTCAGGCTCTGTGCCAAGCACTTTACCCAGTTAACTCATTTAACCCTCTCGGCAACCTTCCCCTTTTACAGATAGAGAAACTGAGGCCTGGAGATGTTGGAACCTTCCCTAGTCCTTCAGCTAGTGAGTGGTAGGACCAGTCCAAACTTCCCAACTAGTTAACTGCTAGGATGCCTTGCCTCCTATAGATGCTAATAGAGATTGAAGGAAGCTCAGGGGCCCTTCCTCCTACTGAGTGAGGGGGAGGGGGATTGTACCAGGAGTGGGTCACCTGGCTTGTCTCCCATACCCTGATGGCCTATCCCTGCAGGTACCAGCTTGGGGCCCTGGACAAGTATCCTCCATTTAGCTGTCTGACAAGTACTTACAGGCCCAGGGCTGTGGGTCCTGCCCTCAGGGAGCTGAGCTCCAGGCTCAGAGGAACTGCCAGAGACTGGGCTGAGGAGACATGCCCTCTGCTCCACCCCCAGTGGTGTCAGGGGCAGCCTCACTGGGCCTGAGCATTCCATTCATTCAACAGTTGTTGACTTTGTGAGTGCCCATGAAGTACTAGGCACAGAGGCAAGTAAGGAGCCTCTGCCTTCACAGTACTTAGGGGCTAGTGGGCATTTTCTGCCAGTGGGTAGGGGTGGGGGCCTAGCTTTTGCCCTCCAACACCCCCCAACTCTTGTACCTGTGAGTAGCCACTGGCCGTATGAGCTGTGACCTCCACCGACCTCTGCACTGGCATGCATTTGGGGCAGTCCTTGAAACAAGCTGCAGGGTCAGCTTCTGCACCAGTGAGCATTCATTGAGCACTTCCTGCATACAAGGCTTTGTGCAATTCAGCCCTTCCTTCTGGCCCTTCCTCTCCACCTCTACCCTGTTGTCATGGCTATTAAAAAACAAACTAAATGTAGTACACATTTACTATAGAAAAAGTTAAGAGACGAAGGTTGAAGGGGGCGGGGTCTCAGCCCCATCCATTTTTCCTTGTTTTCTTTTCCTAAGCCTGTTCTGTTTTGTTTTTTGGGGTGGTTATGACAGCTTTCCTTTTCTAAAGTTTTAAAAATTGTAGTTTTTCCTTTATTTCAACGTTCAAACAGTGCATCATTCACACTTTACAGACAAGGCATCAGTCCCCCATCCCCCCCCCATACAGAGGTTACCTCTGAGATGGATTCTGTGATAACAGAAACTGAATCAGAGAAAAACGATTGCATGAGTTTTTTAATCCAAAAAAGGATCATATAAATGCATTTCCCTATAACAGTGTTTTTCTTGTCACTATGTCTTGGAGAGGATTCTGCATTGACCTGCCTCAGTCCCTGACAGCTGCTGGTACTCCCGGGGCTAGATGAACCACAGTTTTTGTGGCCCCCTCCTGTGGATGGGTGTTTTGAGTCATCAGGTTTTTTCACCAGTGTTCTGTGTATCTTCATCCCTGCCTTTCAGGGCCCCTGCTGGGGTCTTTGCCGTGGCATCCATCTGCCTGAGCCCTTGTTTTAGCGTGTGGCATTGACCTGCCTTCACGGTGGGCGAGGGCCTGGGGAACAGGGAGGAGGCGAGGGGTGCAGTTGGCAGGAGTATGCCAGGGTACAAGTCCGTGGGCGGGGCTGGAGAGGGGTACATTCTGATGGGCTCGCGGGGATCTGGCTTCTGGACTGGGCTCTGCGCCAGCCCACTCTGGTTCAGATCTGGGCTCCACCTCTCAGTCTGTGTGACCTCTCTGAGGTGCAGGCTCCTCGGGAAGCGAGGATCATCATGGCACCCGCTGCAGGGTGGTTGGCGGGTTTGGTGATGAATGCTGGTGAAGCAGTTACTTAGCATGGTGCTCAATTCAGAGGAAGCACCCAGCTTAGCTCTTCTGTCCCCTCAGGGAGCCCATGAATGTGTGTGTGAGAGGGAGTGTCCAGGTCTGCCAGCACGTGGGGAGGTTCATGCAGCAAACGTTTGTTGGTGCCCAGGCCCTGTGCTGGACACTGTGTGCAGAGGTTATTGAGACCCAGTGCCCACCTCTGAGGGGCTCCCTGGCTTCTGGGTGAAACACATCTGCAGAAATTTGTAGTGAGAGACAGTGTGGGAATAGGTTGGGTTCGAGGCAGTTGAGAGGGAGAAGAGGCACAGTCTCTGTTGCAGGATCAGAAAGTCTTAAGTGGTAGGCAAGGTGCCTGCCCAGACGGGTGGAAGGAGTAGGTGCAAAGGGTGGGAGGCAGAGGCAGGGAGGGACCAGCATGGGCTAAGGCTCAGAGGCACAAGTTTATGAAAAAACACGTCTCAACAGAAGTTCATGTGGAGAAGTGGTGGCAGATGAGGATACTAAGGTGGAAGGGGACAGATGGAGGCAGGGGGACCAGTGGGGAGACTGCCAAATGGTCCAGGTGGGAGGTGGTAGTGGCTGTGGTGACAGGATTTCTTGGCCACTAGATAGGAGGAGGACAGTGGGCGGGGCTGAGGGGGTGGGGCTAGTTTTGATCAGGATGCTTTTGAGATGCCCGTGAGACTGCCAGGGCAATCTTCCTCGAGTGTGTGAACTAAATCACAAGGCATCCTGGGCGGGGATGCTGGGTCTGCCACTTCCTGGCCGTGTGACCTTGGGCCTTTCTGGGCTTCAGTTGCTTTATGTGTAAAGCGAGGCCATTGGTGTGCCGCCAGTCCCTAGGATGGGATGATCTAATGGAAGCAAAGTGCGTGATGAGCACCAGTTGCTGTCCTGTTCACAGATAGTCAGAAACCAGAGAGAGTCGGCGACTTGCCCAAGGGACCTGTATCCTAATGGCTTAAAACAACAAACATATATTATCACACAGTTTCTGTAGGTCAGGAAGTCAGGGGGCACTTAGCTGGGTGCTTCTGGCTCAGTTTCTTCTGAGGTTGCTGCCAAAATGTTGGCCCGGGCTCCAGTTGACAGCAGGTGTGACTGGGGTTGGAGGATTTGCTTCTGAGCTCACCCATGGTCCTGTTGGGAGGAGATCTCAGTTCCTTGCTGCTTGGGCCTGTCCTTTGGGTCACTTGAGTGCCTGCATGACATGGCAATGAGCTCCCCCGAAAGTGATCCAATATAGAGAACAAGGAGGAAGCTCCAGTGTCTCGAGGACTCAGTCTCAGAAGTGACACACCGCCACTTTCACCACATTCTGTTCATTAGAAGCAAGTTACCGGATCTGGCCCATACTTAAGGGGAGGAGAATTAGGCTCCATCTTTTGAAAGGAGGAGTATCAAAAAATTGGCAAACTACCACAGGCCCCCAGGGAGGTAGGGGTGGAACTGGGACTTCCAGTTGAGTCTTCTGTCCTGCAGTAGGATTGTGTCCCTTAGGATCTGCCCCTCACTCACACACTTAGGCATACTGGTAGAGAAACTGAGGCTGGGGTGGCCCAGGAGCACCAAGCCCTCAGCCGGGTCTCTTGTGGCCTCACTCTCCTGGTTACTGGGCATCCTCCCATTTATTTTGCTGCAGGTGAAGCGGAGGCTGGACCTGGAAACAGACCATCAATACCTGGCTGAGAGCAGCGGGCCAACCCGGGGCAGAGGCCGTCACCCAGGAAAAGGTACCCAAGGAGCACAGGCTGGGGCAGCCCCCCTGACCAGGCCCAGATTGGGGTGTGGACAGACAAACGTGCTTGGAAACTAAATCTCTGGTGTGTCAGGCCTGGGCCTGAGCCAGGCCTCTGGGGGCCCCAAGGGGTAGCTGGAGTGGCCGCCTGGCATGGCTTCCCCAGGCCCTGGGGGGTAGGGAGTTCCCCGGCCGGAAGAGGAATGCTGTGGTTGGCAGGCAGCCGCCACAGGGCCTCCCTGCTTGGCCTCACCAAGGGGAAGAAGCCATTGCCCCACCCCACCCCTAGGCTGGCCCAGCTGGGGGTGGGGGTGGTGCTGAGGGACCCTGCCTTGCCTGGCCCCCCCAGGTGTGAAATCCCCCGGGGAGAAGTCACGCTATGAAACATCGCTGAATCTGACTACCAAACGTTTCCTGGAACTGCTGAGCCGTTCAGCTGATGGTGTTGTCGACCTGAACTGGGCGGCAGAGGTGCTGAAGGTGCAGAAACGGCGCATCTATGACATCACCAACGTCCTCGAGGGCATCCAGCTCATTGCCAAGAAGTCCAAGAACCACATACAGTGGCTGTAGGTACCAGCCAAGCGGGAGGGTGGGCAGAGGCCAGGGCTGGGCCAGCCTGGAGAAGCTGATAGTGATGCTGTGGCTGCCTGCGTCCCCATCTTAGAGCTGGGGATACAGGTTTAGAGAGGAGAGGTGGCTTCCCCGAGGTGATGGGTGCAGGAGAGTTCACAGATCTTACGTATCCACCTCAGTGTGGCTGTACATATTTGTTCACCTGGGTAACCATCATCCAGATCAAGATAAAGAACATTTTCAGCATGCCAGAAAGTTCTCTAGGTCCCTCTCCAGTCGTCGCCCACCCCTCATACCCCCAGGTAACCACTATTCTGACTTCTCTTGCCATTGCCGGGCTGCTCTAACACAACTCTTTTATTCCTGTAAATTCTTTTATTGTTCCTTCTCACCTCTTTCCCCGCTCGTCGTCCTCCCCTCTCTTGAACACATCTTACCTTCTCAGTTTTTGGTAGATCATTCCATTCTGCATCATTCTTTTTTTCTTTTCACTTGACAACAAGTCTTAGAAGTGCTTTGGTGTCTGTACATCTAATGTATTCTCATCTTTTTATACAACTGTGGAGTACTCTGTGGCATGTCTATGCCATCATTTACTTATCCAGCCCCCTGCGAGGGCCACATGGGTGTTTATAGACAGATTCAGGCCTGACTTTAAACCCAGGCCTGTCTGACTTGGAGCCCAGCTGTCAGCCCTCTGCTGTTTCCTAGCTGAGGAGCCAGACCCAGAGGGGCCAGGGTTTGCCTGGGCCTCAGAACAGAGGCAGCAGCAGACTGGATGCCGAGGGTCAGGGCTCCTGGGCAGAGGGGCCAGGAGCTGCTAGCCCTCGCTCTGCTTCCCCACAGAGGCAGCCATGCAGCAGTAGGGATTGGTGGGCGGCTTGAAGGACTGACCCAGGACCTCCGGCAGCTGCAGGAGAGTGAGCGGCAGCTGGACCACCTGATCCACATCTGCACCACACAGCTGCGCCTGCTTTCTGAGGACACTGACAGCCAGCGATATCCTTGCACTGCCTGGAGGGCAGCGGTCGGGGGTGCCCCACCCAAGTGGGACCAGAGAGGCTACCCTGGGTCCTAGATCCAGGAGAGGGCTCTGGCTTTGGATGCTAGTCCTGGCTCAGCGTTTACTCACTGTGTGATACTGGACAAGTTTCTTAAGCTTTCTGAGCCTCAGCTTCATCTGTAAAAGGAGAAAATAATCCAATTCTGAAATTGCACAAATTAGAACAAGAAAAGATGGTGCCAGCAGTAATGAACATTATTTAGTACAGTGACTCAGTACATGGTTGTAGCTTCAAGGTTAGAGATGCAAGTTTTTGTCTGTTTTTCATTTGCAAAAGTAGAAACTTTTTTTTTAAACTTTTATTTTAAAATAAGCTTTCTTTTTAAGTGAATACCCAAATTATGTTTGTAAATTTTGGACACAGCCACTAATTGACAGCGAGGTCATGGCTCAGAATAAATCCTCAGCACCACACCTTGAGTTATGTTAAGTAATTTACATGAAATTATTGAAGGCAGCCATCATTACCTTGGGATTCGATGGGTAGAATGGTCTTATTGTACAGATGTGGAAATTGAGGCTCAAGGGCATGAGATAGGCTCAAGCACTAGTTATGTGCCAGGCCCTGGGGTGGGGGATGGAGAGGACAGCCATGACTAGGCAAGTGTGGGCTCTGCCTTATGAGCTCTTGGGGTGGGTGGCCCCCAGAAGTCAAAAGTCATATGATCCTTGACTCCACCAACCCTGGCCTATGTGACTTGCCAGGACCTTCGTAGCATCGCGGACCCTGCAGAGCAGATGGTCATGGTGATCAAGGCGCCTCCTGAGACCCAGCTTCAAGCCGTGGACTCCTCGGAGGTGAGACCTGGGACTCCAGGCCCCGCCAGAACAGGCTAGGCTGGGATGGTGGTCAGCTGAGCCTCACTTTACCCTGCCTGCTGCCTCCGCCCAGACCTTTCAGATCTCCCTTAAGAGCAAACAAGGCCCCATCGACGTTTTCCTGTGCCCTGAGGAGAGCGCGGGCGGGATCAGCCCCGGGAAGACCTTGTCCCAAGGGACAGCTTCTGGGGAGGAGGACAGGGCAGCTAATCCTGCCACCACAGTGCCACCACCATCATCTCCCTCCTCATCCCCTGCCACGGATCCTAGCCAGTCCCTGCTCAGCCTGGAGCAAGGTAGGTGAAGGGCGGGAGGGGCGGGGCAGGGGCCCCTCTCCCAGGTGGGTGGGCAGGCATGACAGCCCCCTCTGCCCTCCCTGCCGGGGCGTCCCCGGCCTGTGATGCTCCCCCGTCTCCCCAGAACCTCTGCTTTCCCGGATGGGCGGCCTGCGGGCCCCTGTGGACGAGGACCGCCTGTCCCCGCTGGTGGCGGCTGACTCGCTCCTGGAGCATGTACGGGAGGACTTCTCCAGCCTCCTCCCTGAGGAGTTCATCAGCCTGTCCCCCCCCCACGAGGCCCTTGACTACCACTTTGGCCTTGAGGAGGGTGAGGGCATCAGAGACCTCTTCGACTGTGACTTTGGGGACCTCACTCCCCTGGATTTCTGATGGGGCTGAGGGGGGCCAGGGCCTCCTGAGGTGCCCATCCTGTCTCTACAGCCCTGGAGCCCCTGCCCCTGCCTCTGGCCGTCCTCCCAGCCCAATTGGAAACATTTAATTTATACCCCTCTCCCCTGTCTCCAGAAGCTTCTAGCTCTGGAGTCTGGCTACTGCCAGGAGGCTGAGCAAGCCAGGAAGGGAAGGATTCTGTTTGTGGTGTGTATGTGCATGCACCCAACACCCATCATGTGTGTACACGGGGTGAGTGGTGTGTGAGCATGTGTGTGTGCATGTGCCGGGGAATGAAGGTGAACACATCTGCGCGTGCACTGAGAACACGCCCCAGTGTGTCCACGTGTGTGTGCATGAGTCCATGTGTGCGCGTGGTGGGGGCTCTAACTGCACTTTTGGTCTCCTTGCTCCAGGGGCCCCACGAGGCCCAGGGTGGCCACCTGCCCCCAGAATCCTGCGTGCTGACCAGGCCGGGTGGCGAGGCCTTGGCCTGCTTGTTTGCAGGACAGCGAGAGCACTTCTGTCGTCTTAAAGGTTTTTCTGATTGAAGCTTTAATGGAGCGTTATTTATTTATCAAGGCCTCTTTGGCAAGCCTGGGGCACCAGCAAAGGGTAGGAGGGATGTGGGGCTGATGCCCCAACTCCTTGTACCCCTGAGCGAGGGTGGGGGTCCCTGAGCTGTTTTTTGCCCCACTCTGAAGGAGCTGAGGCCTGAGCGGTTTATTTATTGGGAAAGTGAGGGAGGGAGACAGACTGACCAACTGACAGCCATGGGTGGATTGAGGGGGTAGTCCCTCCCCAGGGGTCACTGCAGGGCCCCAGCTGCCCCCCAGGATGGATGTGAGATGGGAGAGGTGAGTGGGGGACCTTCACTGACAGGGTGGGCAAGAGGGGTGGGTGAAGGGCCTCCCCCCAGCCCAGACCACAGGGCTCCTCCTGTGGCGTTTGAAGTGCCCCCCTCCACCCCACTTCTTGCTCTGCCCCACCCTCCAATCTGCACTTTGATTTGCCTTCCTAACAGCTCTGTTCTCTCCTGCTTTGGTTTTAATAAATATTTTGATGGTGTTTGGGCCAGGTTTTGGGTCTGTGAACGGGGAGCAAATTTGGGGGGTAGGGGAGGTCAAGGTTGCCAAGAAAATGCTGGATCTCTACTTCCCTTCTCCTTGACCTTGCTTGGATTCATTACATTTGAGCCTCACAGCCCCAAGAAAGGTAGGGTTCATTATAATTTTTGTCTAACCTAAAAATAAAACTGATCCAGTAAAGTAATGAGTGAACTCCTCTCCTTTCCCCAGCCCGAGGGAGGCCACTCTGATCAGTTTTCTATGTTCCTTCCAGATGTTTCTGGGCATTTGTAAATATGCAACAGATAATTGCAACGGGCTGACGTGTCCCGTTCTTTCAGGTTCTTGGAATGGGAACACGAGTTCCCTCCCCCTCATGAGGCTCTCAGGGTCTGCTGGAGGAGGCTCACACAAATGAGAAGATCCGCGAGGGCTTCTTGGAAGAGGTGGTGCTTGAGCTGAGAGCTCAAGGATAGTAGGGGTTAACTGAGCAGAGAGGGAAGTATAGGCAAAGGCCCTGGGGCAGGAGGGAGCAGGGTGCAGAGGACCTTTGAGAAGCCAGTGTGACTGGAGTCCTGAGGTGAGGGCCAGAGTGGAGAGAAGGTCAGTCTTGCAGTTATTCAGGGGTCAAGGACTCACTGGTGAGCCTAAGGCAGGAATAACACGTCCTGTTTTATATTTTAAAAGCTCTCTCTGGCTGCTGTGTGGAGGAGGGATTGAAGAAGGAGCCAGAATGCCAGAGGGGAGGGGGAAGAGTAAGACTGAGTTGAGTTTGAAAGTAGAGGGGAGGGTGACTGGGAGGCGGTCCACACCCGCCTGTTTAACCCTTAGGTGGTTCTCTGAGCTAGTCCCTATTGTAAGCCCTTTACGGAAATACAGTGACTCCCTGCAATAATGCTATGAGGTGCCCACTACCACGCCCATTTTGCAGACGAGGATACAGACACTCAGAGGTGAGGACACTTGCCAGTTTTCCCTGTAGGGTGTCATTCTGTTGTGCTGCAGGTGGCTTTGTGGACCCTATGATGGTGTGGGGCCTGCCCTCGTTGGGGACGCACAGCCCCACCCGTTGTGTCCCTGGCTTGTAGTACTCCCAGCTGGCCGTCGTTTACTCAGCCAGTCCCTGGTGGAAATGGCCCTTTGGGTGGCTCCTTCCTCCGCAGCGGCCACCCCTGTGGGAGGCTCTGGTGGCAGAACTGCGGAGGTGAACGGTATTGGGGTTCTACATGGCGCGGTCCTTGCCCACCTAAAGGCTGGCGTTTGCACCTTTTCCAAACGGGGAAACCGAGGGCCGCGGTCTCGGGCCGGCGGGGAGGGGCCCGCGGCGGGCCTGGGCCGTGGGCGGAGCCGCGGGGGGCGGGGCGCCAGGTCCGCGCCGGCGCCGAGGGGCGGGCAGGCGGGCGTCCCCCAAGTCCGCGGCGGCGGCGGAGGGCAGAGCGCGGAGCCGCAGCCGAGCCGGAGGCGAGAGGGTGGCGGCGCCATGGCGTGCGCGGGGCTGCTCACCGTGTGCCTGATCCGGCCGCCCGCGCCCGAGCCCCCGCGGCCCCCTGCTCCCGCGCCCGCCGGACACGCGCTCTTCCAGGACGTGAGTGGGGAGCGGGCAGGGGGCTCTGCGGCCCGGGGGTGTCGCTGTCTCCGCAGTGTCTCTCCAGGTCTCTGTCTTCTCTCTCCCTGCGTCTCGCCGGGCTCTCTGTCTGTTGCTGTCTCTCCTTGCCCCTGTCTCTGCGTCTCTCTCGCTCTGTTTTTCCCTGTCGCTGTGTCTGTCTCTCCCTCCAGGTCTGTCTGGGGCCCTGCCTGTCTCTGGGTCTCTGTCTCTCTCGCTCTCTCTCTGACCCTGCTGCCTCTTTCCGTGTGTCTCCCTTTATCTCACTGCCTTCATGTCTCCTCTCTCCTTGTCTCTGGTTCAGTGTTACTGCCCCTGCTGCCCCCCACCCCTGATCCCACCCCATCTGTGTGTCTGGTGGGGTGGGGGCTGTCAACTCTTGATCACGTGAGCAGTCTCTCTGTTCCTCTGTGGCAGTCCCAGGCTGGGCTGACCCTGGCAGGAAACCTGGAAGAGTAAGCAGCCCCCTGACTTCCCGACCCAGTGCTGACCTCAGAGTCTTTTAGATCCGACCTAGGGCCTGTGGGGTCCCACAGTTGATCAGGGCTGCCCACAGTCATTCTCTGTTGTGTGTGCACCCCTCCCATGGGTGACAGGTGGCCCTGCAGCCCCCATGGGCACGAGCATGGAGCAGCCTGCCCAGGCCTCAGTCACTGCCCTGAACCGCTTGCCCACCTTTCACCCCATACTCAGCCCTGTCCTGGCCCTCTCATGCCCCAACTCCTAGAGGTCCCTGCCAGTGGGAAAGGCTGTACTCCTGCCCCCTCCCCACCGCCCCCCAGTGAGTCAGCACCTTGACCACAGTTCTCATGGCTGGAAAGGACCTGACTCTCCCGCTTCCCAGATGGAAAAACCAAGGCCTGAGGGGTTAGGGATATGTCTGAGATTGTGCGTGGAGGCAGGGGCCCACTAGGGTGTGGCCTCAGGTGTCCTCATTCCCAGCTTGGAACTGCTCGCCCCAGTATCTCCATCTGCCCCAGCCAGGCCACACTGGGCTGCTGTGTGACCCTGAGCCAGTGGCAGACCTTTCTGAGTCAGGCTTCAGGCTAGGGGTTAGATTCATCCCTGAGCCTCACTGACCCTGAGAAAACAACCAGAGGGGCGTGGCATTGAGGACCTGGAGCTGATAGGGGCTCTCTGTGCAGGCTTTTGCCTGCCCCTCCTTGCTAGGCCTGCTGGTCTCCCGTTTACTGGGCTGCTCTGGGTGACCTGGGAGTCTCTGGTCCCTGGGAGAGGCAGGGACCATGTCTTGACTCTGCTCCTCTCTGTCTATCTGCCTCTGTTGTCCTTCATCTCTGCTTCTCCATAAATACAGTCTGTCCACCCTTGCTTTCCACCACCCTCACTCCCTCCCCTGCGTGCACACATGCACATATGCACACATACAAATGGGCCTGCCCAAGGCTCTCACACTGAGTCAGCCTCGTAGGAAGCCCCAGCCCTGAAAGGGTTAACCCCAGGCTGCTCCCCCATATGCTGGTGGGAAAACTGAGGCACCACAAAGAAAGGACTAGCCGATGCCTGCATGTCAGGGTCTTCAGCAAGCACCCAGGGAAATAGCCCAGAGCGAGCAGAGTCTGGGAAGGACCATGGCCACACAGCAGAGTTGAGGTTCAGATCTGGGATAGGTGCCCAGCATCCTCAGGCTGCATCTTGGCTCATCTCCCCACCTTCCTCAAGCTGAGACTATGCCAAGGGCTGATGCATCAGACAGAACTTGGGATGGACACTGGGTGTGGGAGATGGGGGTGCAGGAAGTTGGCCTGGAGCACCCCCATGAGGCCAGGCCCCACAGGAGCAGTGAGAAAGTGCGGCCCGCTGTGCGCTCTTCCTGTGCCCCTCTTGTTGGAAAAACTCCTGTAGGGCCAAGCTGGGCAGGGGGTTGGGACCAGGCTGGGCAGGAGGAAAGGCGAGGCAGGGGGCAGGCTGGCCAGCTGGGGCCCTGGTGAGTTGGGCTTCTTGCCTCCCAGTCCGCACTCACAGCTTCCATCCATGCCCTTTTGTCCTCTAGGTTTTCCGCAGAGCAGACAAGAATGGTGAGTGTGGCTTCTCCTGGGTCCTGCAATGGGGGGGAAGGGTGGGGACATCAGGGAGGCTCAGGGGAGGATTGAGGGTTTGGGGGCACTGTCTAGAATGGAGAAAAATCTTGAGGGGAGCTGAATTAGGAGAATCATCAAGGCATCCTTCCTGGAGGAAGTGCTGTTTTGAGCCAAGTTTGGCACGATGGAGAGTGGAAGAAATGTGGTTTAGCCAGAGGCTGGAGGTAGGGGCTTAATTTCACGTAATGCCCTGGCACAGTGGTGGGTACTTCCCATAGATGACCTCATGTTGTCCTCACAACCACCAGCTAGATGGGAATTCCCCATTTCACAGACAGAGGAGGAGAGGCTCAGAGAGGTGAAGCAGGTTGCCTGAGGTCACACAGCCTGTAAGTGGTGGGCCTTGAACCCAAGTCTCTGATGCTTGGTCCCAGGCTCCCTGTGTGAGGGGCTTGGAAGTGTTGGGGTACGGAGATGAGGCCCTGTAGGGAGTTTTACTCTTTGACTTTTAGAGGGCTCAGCAACTTTCCATATGACCAACCATCTGGACCCAGGGAGGGCTTGGGCAGGATAAAGCTGGGTCTAGGGAATCAGCTCCTCCTGCCCTGGGTCCTGGGCAGTCTCAGACCCTGATCTGGGAAAACCTTGAAAGCTGAAGGTTTTCAGGCAGGTTGTGGCCCATAGATGGCTCAGAGCAGCCCCCTGTGCCCAGATTGGCCAGGCGAGGGTCTGAGCTGAGGCAGCCAGTCAGCCTTGGCCTCACTTCCGTCTGGAGTCTTCAGACCCTTCTGTGTTTCAGGCTCCTTGAGACAGGATCATGTCCCCACCCCTTGCTCCTTCTCCTTGGGTCTCTTCAGATTGGTGGAGACCGTTTATCCCAACCTGTTGATCAGGACACATGGTCCCATTTGGGTCACAGCGTTGTATCTGGGGAGGCTCAGTCCCTCCCCCAGCTCTGCTTCCCCCACCCCATCTGCTTAAAGACCTTCCAGGCCAAATCCCCAGTGTCTCTGGCCATCCTACTCATGTTCGTAGCCTCTGTTACATGCCCCCTGTGATGGGGAGGTCATTCCCCCTTGAGCTAGCCTGCTACTTCTTACAGGGGCTCCAACTCTTAGGAATATCTCATCTGCCTCTCTGTGGCTCCTCTGTGAAGGGCCTGCATCCTCCACCCTGGAGCCAGGCTGGCCAGCATGTAGGGCACAGATCTCAGCCTCCAAGTCCTCCAGGGGACGTCTAGGCCCTGTCGTGATCTGGTCGGTCTCAGGCTGTCGTTCATTTGTTTCTTCACTTGGCACACATTTATTGAGTCCCTACCCAATGCCGCTTGTGTACTGCCCTGTCCCTTGGGTGCCTGCAAAGTGGGCCCTGTTGCCTTCAGGGGGCACCTCTGGAGGCTCCAGCCCTTTTGTCACCAACAGCCAGGCCTCCCACCGAGCTCAGAATCCCATTCCACTTGGCTGGGTGGTTGTACGATGCTGCGAAGCCTTTGGGGGGCCTGGGCCTGGTGGCAGGGGTGCAGCCAGGGGTCAGGAATACCAACTCTGCTCCCTGCCCACCCCCCAGATGATGGTAAGCTCTCATTTGAGGAATTCCAGAATTACTTTGCTGACGGGGTTCTCAGTCCGGGGGAGCTGCGGGAGCTCTTCGGAGGCATTGATGGGCACCCCACTGAGTGAGTATGAGAAGGGGGATGAAGGAGCTGTGGGTAGGTGTGAAGCCGGATTGTCCCAACCCCACTGTGTCCCCTGCTGCCTTGGTTCCTTATGGAGGCCGGGGTGGGGGTTGCAGGGAGAAGGGTGCCAGGGCTTGGTGCCAACTTTACCCGCCTGCCCACCCCCTCCCTGGCTCCAGCTTTGCCCATCACACTGCTTCCAGCTGGGACCCCAAAATAGCCAGGCCTGAGTCACCACCCATGGTTCAGCCCACAGGTGCCCCCCCCGCCACCATTCCTGCTTCCTGCAGGGACCAGAGGATGCCTGGGGACAGCTGGGCCCCGCCTGCTTCTACCCATGGATGCAGGTGCATGAACACATTCACCCCTCCCCACGTGTGCTCCCACATCTACAGGCCTTGGCATGAGTTTGCATGCTTTCTTCCCCTGCTTCCTCACGTGGTGCACACGCATACACAGCTGTCTCTGCCTCTCACTTCCCTTACCCCCACCCCATCTCCTTAGAATAAATTCCACACTCTGGATCTGCATTCAAGGCTTCCATGCCCTCCATTGTTCTGAGGCTTGGGCTGGACCCTTTGTCTGCAGTGCTACCACCCCCGCCCCCTCAACAGCACTCCAGTTATATTTCTTGTCCTTCAAGGCCTAACATAGTCAGCCCCTCCTCCAGGAGGCCCTCCCTACCAAGTAATACCCCATGCCTTCTCTGGACTTCCCCAACCCTGGCTTCCCCTTCTCAGCTCTGACCACTCCCTTCTGGCCTGTGTCCATGTCTGTTTCCCCTGGCCTGAAATCCCCCTGGAGGCCAAGAGTAGGCTTGAGCTTGAGAGTGTTTGATGGGGCAGAGTACCCTTGCTCCCCTGGCCCCAAGGCCTCTGCCGACTGAGCAGCTTAACCTGCGCTGGAGGCAACAGTCGCCTCCTTGTCAGACTGAGCTGGGCAGGGAGCGGGGAGGAGCACTGGCTTCACAGTCCCACTTCACAAAGTCCCAGACCCAAGTCTGAGGGTCTGAAGGGCGCCTTCTCTTTTCCCTGCAGCAATTTGGAAACGGAGAAGCTGTGTGGTGAGTAGGCCCACGGGAGCTCTTGTCTCCTGGGAGCCTGGGCAGGTGGGTGTGATGAAGAGGCTGTTGCTGGTCTCCTGGTGGAACAGGATGGACTGGGCTCAGGATATGAGGCCTGGTTGGCTGCTGAGGAAGCCCAGGATGGGTAGGTGGTGGTGGTGGGGCGGTCCTAGGGAACCCTTGAGCACCTCCTCTGCCCGCAGACTACTTCTCGGAACACCTGGGTGTCTACCAGCCTGTGCTGGCTGCACTGGAGTCGCTGAACCGTGCAGTGCTCACCGCCATGGACACCACCAAGCTGGTGAGTGGAGGGGCTGGCGGTGGGAGGCTCAAAATGAGGGCAGGGATGTCTGCTGTGCTGTGGGAGTCTCTACCATTGCGGCTCAGGGCTGTGGAGCTAGAGGCCTGGGTTTAAATCCTGGCACTCCCACTTTCTGGCTGTGCCCCTTTACCTCTCTGGGCCTCAGTTTCCTCATCTGTAAATGGGATAATGACAGAGGCTGCCTCCATACCCTTGTTGTGACAATTAAATGAGAGTGAAGGCAGGGATTTTTGTCTATCTTGTTCTCTATTCCCAGCACCTAGAACTATGCCTGGCACACAGTAGGTGCTTAATACATGCAGCTGCTGCCGCTGCTACATTTTTATTACTGGCCAGCCCGAACTGTTGTGGGGTATCAAGCCCAGGACCCGGCAGAGAGAGGCTGCAGGGTGAGGCCTGCTCACGCACGTCCACAGGCCCATGCTGGTGTTCGCAGCCTGCTGGGGCATGGCCGGGCCTGAGGACGTGTGAGTAGGCAGGCGCGTGTGCACCCATGTGTTTGTGTGCATGTTTGGGCACGTGTGCGCACAGCATAAACAGTGCTCACAGCCAAGACTCCAGGCCCTTGGATGGTGACTTCAAAGAAACCACAACCCGCCCTCCCTTGGTGTGTTCCTTTTAAGACATGTCTCCACCTCCCTTTGTCCCCCAGATCTTCATGAGGGAGTGGGTGGGAGCGTGAGCAAGCCTGGGATCATGCCTGTCCCCTCTTTTACGCGAAGGGGAAGCTGAGGCCCTCAGCAAGTGGATGATCAGCTGAGGACAGGCTTCCCCTGCTGGTTCCTTTCCCGTGGGATTTAATAGCTTTTCAAGGGATCACCCTCGAGGCCTTGCACGGCATGGGAATCCAAATGCTCCACGATGAGGGGTTGGCATGTCACGATGACACAAGTGTGGGCATTGCCTCCCTTGTTGCCATGGAAACAGGACACTGGGGGTGAGCAGCTGGACTGGCATTCTCTGAACTGGAACTGGTTAGGGGGACTCAAACTGCAGGTCAAAGTGAGGACCCAGGCCCGACCACCTCATCCTGGCCCAGAAAGGGGTAGGGGGTGTCCCTCACCACACGACTCTGCCACCTGCAATGACTTGAGACTTTTATTTGGCACTCGATGCTTCTCATAGAGCTTCAGCTCAGCCCGCTGAGCCTCTGCCGCCCCCGCCCCTCTGTGGCACTGCTCGCTCCAGTCCAACATGACTGACTCAGTTGAACACTTCATACACCAGCCTGGAGCCACACTCCTGGTACATGGCCCGGGTCATCCAGTGGCATTGGAAGGAGTGCAGCGAGGCCACCATGGAGCCGCCTGTCCACACCGCTGTGCCGCGCTCAGGCTTGGCCACCAGGCGTGGCTGCAGTGCCCCATAGCCATGCCGCCGGCAGTGGGCCGCCAGCTCCATCTCCAGGCGCTCAGGAAAGCCTGGGAAAAGTGTGGAGCCACCAGCCAGCACCACAGTGTCAGCCAGCCGTTTTCGCAGTGTTGCGGGCACCCTCTGCAGTGCCCGGAAGGCCAGTGTGGGCAGTCCTGGCTCAGCCTGGCCTAGCAGACCCGGCTGGAAGATAGGCTCCGGGCAGCGGAAGCACTCACTGCTGAGGCAGACAGAGCCTCCATTGCCTAAGCAGAAACTGGCCGGACGGTGGCGGGCGGGGTTATGGAGGTCACCCTCGAAGTCCAGCGATACATAGCAGCAGCGCTTCTTGAACTGGGTGATGGCCTTGCGGGGCAGGGCCTGCAGCTGTAGATTGGGGCACGCTGCCACCAGCAGGTCCCGCAGATAGCGTGACAAGGTGCTGCCTGCCACGTCCAGCCGGAAGGTGGCCTCGTGCCACGAGTGGCCGGCATAGATGGGCGTAGCGTGACACACACCTGCGCCCGCCTCCACAGCCAGCCCGCTGAAGGCGCCGGTGGAGCAGAGCGCCAACAACGCGGTGCTGGCCAAGTGGCACGCGGGCACTGCCAGGGCCTCAAACAGCAGCTCGGCCACGCGCTCGCGGCTGGCGGGCGGCGCGGAGGGCGAGTCGCTCACCAGCACGGGCCACTGTTCTGGGGACACCCGCAGGCCGCCCACCAGCAGGCGCTCCCACAGCCCCTCCAGCGCCTCCCAGTCCACCACCACGCCGTGCTTGATGGGGTGCGCCCGCGCCACGCCGCCCGCCAGCTCGCAGCCCGGCGCCCCAGGCAGCACGGGCCGGTCCCAGCTGGGCACCAGGCTGGAGCTCTTCAGCACCAGGCGCGGCTGGCCCTCGCCCGCGAAGCCCGCCTTGGTGAAGCCGGAGCCGTGGTCCACCACCACCGCCACGCGGCCCAGCGGGGGCGGCCGGCGGGCCTCGCGGCTCCTCGCCACCGACGCCACCCTCCGGGCTCCGCCCCGCCCTTCGGCCACAGGCTCCGCCCCCGGGAGCTCGGCCCCGCGCCCGCCTCTGCTGGCCTAGCCGAAGGCCGGCCTTTCAGCTCTCGGCTCTGCCCTCTGGTCCTGAGGTCCCGCTCTTCTGGCCGGAGGGGGTGTCTCCTTTCAGCTCTCGTCTCCGCTCGTAGGCCTTGAGGCCCCGCCTCTGGTTCAAGTGTCCGACTCCGCTCTCGCTGGGCTCCGGCTGCTGCTTGCCCTCTTCGTCCTCTTCTGGCTCAAGGGTCCACCTTGCACGAGGTGCCACCCTTTCTTTGAGGACTCGCCTCTGCTGTGCGGCTCCGCCCCCTCAGCCCTAGCGGAGGTGGATGATGACAGGCCCAGGCCAAATACTTTAAGGATAGTGAGAAGCCACCAGGAGCAGCAGAGCTCTGAGAATGAAGGGGCCTTGTGGCAATGTCATCAGGACATAAATACCCACTTGGGGACCCAGGAGTCCCGCCCAGCCCTTGAGCCCAGGTGGTCTGGTACTTCTCACCTGGGCTTGACAGTAGTTGTTCCTGGTTGTGGAGGTGGGAGGGGTGACCAGAGAAGGAAGGAAAAGAATTCGGACTCATTGTGACCTCAGCCCTCAGCACCTGCTGCGCTTCCGCAGCCCTCCCCCCCTCTGAAAACTCCCCGAGCCCATCCTCTCTCCTGGGACAGGGCCAAAGGCAGTGATTTTGGCATCCAGGGGTCTGGCCTCAGCCGCCCAGCACAACCAATCTGATTCCTTCCCCAAACCACTCCGGATTATCTGATATGCTCTGGCCAAATGTGCGGCCCTTCCCCTCTCAATACTGAGGAGAAAGCTCTTAATCACAGATCTGCAGCCACTCTTGAGGATCTCTGTGCGCTCAGCCTTGAGGGGCCCAGGCAGCCCACAGAGGGAGCCTACCTCCAGGGGCTTCCATGTATGGACTTCCGTGGGCCTGAGTTTGTGACTCAGTTCTGAAGCTGACTCACCGTGCCCACCCTGAGCAAGTCCTAATCTCTCTCTGGGCTCAGTTTCTTCATCCAAAAGGTAGTAATCCTCACGCACAGGAAAGAGGCCACCTCTAGTCTATGCATAGTCTCATTATTCTCTTTAGGACCACTTTGGTTGCAAGTTGAATATCCAGTCAGGTGAGCTTAGGCTAAAATGGTGATTTTGTTACAAAAATCTTGCATGTTTTATGGATGCTAAGGGCAAGGGTGAAATCAGGTTTCAGGAACAGATTGGAAGCAGCGCCTGACTGCAGGGCTGTGGGGAAACCCAGGATATGCACTGGCTCTGCAGTGTGTTCTTATTCTTCTAAAGACTGGCTTCAGCCTGTGCACATGCATGTAGAAAACAGAGCCTCTTACAGCTCATGAATTACAGTCCCAGGGAAGGAACTGATAGGACCAGTTTAGGCCAATCACTTATGGCCAGGAGGTGTGGCCACATTGAGGAACATGGCTACCTAGATTGTAACATGTGGATGGTAGCAAAGGGTCAGTTCTCACAAGCAGCAGGAGAGATGCTATGGATGGTGCAATCTCCAGCCTGGTGCAGGGGATGTGGCATGTTGATCATGTTGACACGGATGAAAACACATCTTCAGCAGAAGCTGAACCAGTGGCTTTAGTGAGCTGGGACGTTCACCCCTGTTGCGTCTGTCCCCAAAGGGGACATTCTGACATTGGTTGCCAGTGGAAGGCAGGCTGCAGGTTCAGCAGGGCTAGGGGAGCACTAGGGTCTGGAGCTGAGTTTGGGACCCAGGAAACTGAGAGGCAGCAGCTGGGTCCTGCCCGCAGGAAGTGCCAGGCCTCTCATGGGTGAATTAGGGAGGTGAGCCTCGAATTGGAGACCACAAGTGGCAGTATGGCCAGAGCAGGGGTGAGGGTGGAAGTCACTTGAGAAGCCCTAGAGGGGAAGACTGAGGCTGAGGGGCTGAGCCTGCACATCCCGGTAATAGGTTTGGGCATTTCTGTGGGCAGTGGAGAAGCAGTGTGAGCCTCTGAGCGAGAGAGGGACCTGCTCTACAGAGAGGGTAATGGTTTGGAAGAAGCCTTAGCCCACAATATGGGGAAGGGGCTGGGACAGGGTAGGTTGAAACAAGCTACCAAAGTGCCTTGGGGGATATCCTTTAGGAGTGAGGACTCAGAGGCGGAGGGACCCCGGCCTCTCCTTCTGGGTGCTCTCACAGGCAGAATGTGAGTCTCAGGCCTGCCCCTGCTGGCCGTGGAACCCTCACAGTTCTTCCTCAGGGTGGTGGCTGTTTGCCTGGGACTGGCCCTCTGCCCAAGACGGACTTGTGAATGCTGGGACTCGTGGAGATGCCAGCCCTCTGCTGGGAGCAGTCTCCTCCTCTTAGCGTGGCCAGCCTGGGTTTGCCCAGCTCACCTCCCTTGGGCGTGTAGACCTGGCAGGGTCTGTCCCGGGCCTGGAGTTGGTGGGGGATGGGATGGGGTGGTCTGGGGGGGCGAGGCGGGGACAGCCTCCCTCCACTGAGGCAGGGTGCCCCCTCCCTAGCTCGGGGCAGGGGTTCTGACTCTTGGGTCACAAGGAAGGAGAAGGCAAAAACAGCCTTGACTGCGGACCATGGCCGTTGCTCTGCCGTCAGTACGTCTTTTCATCCCTGCCTTGCTCTGGGCCTCAGTTTCCCCTCACCTGGATCAGCGCCCTGATGCCTCAGACAGAGCTAGCCGGCGCCAGGTTGCTATGCGCTCTTTATTGGGCCGGGCCCTGGGGCCGGGGGGCCGGGCCAGGCGCTCAGGGCCGCGGGCAAGGGCAGCGGCGCCGCTTGCTCGGCTGCTCGCTGGCGGCGGCCTCGCGCTGCGGTGGGCTCTCGGCCGGCAGGCGCGCGTGGAGCCCGGGAGCGGCCCTGGCCCCGCCCCCCGCGCCGGCCCCGGGCCCGCCCGCCGCGCGCCGTCCTTCCTCCTGCAGCCGCGCGTCCAGCAGCAGCAGCAGGACCAGGATCTTCTTCATCTCGCTCGCGCGCGCGCCTTCGCGCCCTTCGGCGCCGTCGCCCGCTCCTCGCAGCATGGGCGCTGCCGTCCGGGAACCCATCCGGGCGCCCACCACGTCCTCGCCCGGCCTCCCCGGCTGCGCGCTGGGGCCTGCTGCCACCTCGGCCAGCTGCTCCTCCTTGTCCAGGGGGAAAAGCAGCACGATCTTGGTCTGGGGGTGGAGCAGGGGCGTGAGGGGAAAGAGCACGCTCCGCCTTCCTCCCCGGGACCCCTACCCACCCCTGTCTTGTCTCCCAGGACTATATCCCCTCTACGCTTCCGGGACTCTCGCCAGCCTCCCGTGCCCGGGAAGGGGATCCTCACCCTGCCTCACGGCCTGAGACCCCCCATCTCCCCTCTGGAAACCCTCACCTTTCCAGGCTGACCTCCTGAGACCTCGCTCCCTTCCACGTTTATGGGATCTCTGCCTGTCCTCCCAGCCTTGATGTTGGGAACTTCACCCACCCCGGTCCTGGCCCAGGGCCTCTGCCCACTTCAAGATGGGGAGAAGTCGCATGTTTTGAGACTGGGGCTGGAAAGGGGGCATAGGGGAAATCCTCCTGCCCATAGCCCCACTGGTACCAAGTAGGGCTGATATCCCGTGCTGGGACCTCCCCCCATCCCTCTGGGGTTGTGAGAATCTCCTGCCCACTTTCCTGGGCTCCCAAGACTCATCCCCCTCCTGGTTTCTGGGATCCCTGTCCTCCCTTCTGGGCTTTTAGGACCTCATGCACACCCACATGGGTTCCTGGGACCCTCATCCTCAGGAGGGGTTCCCTAGGGGGTCTTTCATGCCCCTAGGACTTCTTCCCACAGGGCCAAGACTCCCAGCATCCCCTCCTGCCCACCTATCCAGGTTCCCCTGACCCCCGCCTGCCCCTGCCCCCTGGCACTCACGCGCGGCTTCTTCCGCTTGAGGTAGCTGAAGAACTGCTGTTCCCACTGGGCCGTGTCCATGTCTGCTGGCTTCTCCGTGCAGGCCTGCTTGGGCACTTTGGTCCTCTGGTGGGAACTACTGTTTCCCATGGCAGGACTGGTCACCACTGGGGGCCACAGCCCATGCTGCCTCTGTCCTGCTCTCTGGCCAGGGGCCCCCTGCCCCAGCTCTGTCCCAGAGAGGCCACATTGTGACCTCATGGGTTGACCTCACCAGCTCCAGGCTCCATGTTCCTCTTCCCACAACCCACAGGTGAATATTGGCTCCATTTACTCTGTTTGTGACTTCTTCTGGCCTTGGCTTCTCAGCTGTAAAACTGAGCTAATGATCATAAATGAGGTGATGCTTGTAAGGTGCTTGGTGGTGAGTAGAGAGGAACTTCTGTGGCCTGGGTTTGAATTCTGGCTCTGCCACTAACTAGTTGTGTGACCTTGGCCAAGTAATCAACTGCTCTAGGCCTCACTTGCAAAATGGGGTCAATTATGGTTCCTGTAAGTTGTTATGAGGATTAAATGAAATTCTGCTTGGAACAGGGCCTGGCACAGGGTGGGTGCTTATATCAGCTGGGTTCTTTGGTTGCAACCCACAGAAACTGGTCAGTCATCTTAAGCGTGCGAAAGAGAATTTATTGGAAAGATTTCAGGTAGCTCACAGCATGGCCAGGAAGTCTGAGAACCGAGCTTGGAGAGAGGACAGAAATCACTGGCCTGTCTTGACAGGGCACTCAGCCTCTCCTCTGTCCCTTCCTCCCAGTTCATAAACCCATCCGATGGTTGAGCTGAGGCAGGTCATGAGCAGGAGACGAAGCTCCTGATGGATGGGACCTCTGGGGCTCCTTGTAGGAGGAGAGCAGGTACCTGGACCACAGCTCCCCAGGACTCCCGTTCGGGGCTGTGTCCTATGTAGGAATTAACTCATTGGAGCCTCTCAACAGCTCAGTGAGATGGCTGTTATCATCCCTGTTTTATAGGTGAGGAAACTGAGGCACAAGGAGGTGAAGGTAGTTGGGGAGTCTCTGAGCATTCCAAGTGGGCAGCACAGGGCCTGGTACATGGTTGGCTTCCCTGTCTCTTCGCCTGCCTTAGGAGGGGCTGGGAAGTGGCTGGTGATGTAGGTTGGGGTCAATGCTGGGGTGTGTTTGAGGACAGCAACTCGGCTGTCTTGTGTCTGCAGCTCCTAGTAAAAGATGCTCAGTAAATGTGGCATGGATGAGTGAGTGGATGAGTGCATGAATACAGATTGTGAGTTTGGGACCAGCTGGTGAGTATGGGGCCACATCACACCATCCTTTTGCCTCGTGTCAAAATTGGCCTTTGGTGCCTGGTAACCTGCCCCACCCCCCATCAATCTAACTGTGCCGGAGCCTCACTGGCTAAAGGTGGTGGCCTCAACCGGGAAAGGGCCTTGAGGCCCAGAGAATGGCAGATGCCTCCCTGTGAGTTGACCTCTCACCTCCTAGAAAGAGAGGCCAGGTCCAGACAAGGAGGGGGTCTGGGCTCTGCTTGCCCATGGAGCCCCTGTGCCCTCTTGCTTCTGGCAGGTCTGTACGCCCTCTGCTCTTCATGCAGCCACTGTAGCTCTGTGGCAGGGTGAGGGGAGCAGGGGAGTGGCTCCCCATTCAGAAATACATGCTTGGGGCCAGGAGATGCGGACCATACCCCCTCTACCCCTAGGAATATGAGCGGGCCTCCAAGGTGGACCAGTTTGTGACACGCTTCCTACTGCGGGAGACCGTGAGCCAGCTCCAAGCCCTGCAGAGCTCGCTGGAGGGGGCGTCTGACACTCTGGAGGCCCAGGCCCTTGGCCCGCGGTATGTGAGGAGCCCTGCTGACCTGCAGGTGCAGTTCATGAACAGCCTTTCTCTCCACAGTGCAGGTCCCCAGCTGGCACTGCTTTCTGTAGTTCTAGCATCCTGGAGCCCAAATTCTTGTTCTTGGGCAGGGAGGCCAAGAAGGGGTACCTGGCTGTGAGGCTGGGCCTCAGTGTCCCAAGAAGCCTGTCTTATTCCACCCAGGCCCTGTTCTAGGGACCCACTCCTTGGCCCTGTGGATCTGGGAGCAGTGGGCTGACCTTCCGCTTCTCTTAGGTCAGATGAAGATAGTGTGGAGGTGCAGAGCAGGCCTCGTGGCAGCCGGCGGGCAGGGCGCAGGGCCCTGAGGAGTGTCAGCTGGTCACCCACCTGGTCTCCTGGCTCCTCTGACACAGGTGCACCTGTGGTGGGGTGGGAGGAGGGTCCAGGGCGGGTGCAGCAGCCCCAGTGCCCCCAGTGCCTGCTCTTCCACTGCTCCTCAGTTCATCCTCAGATGCCTCCCAAGCTGAGTCCCCCCGGACCCCCCACCCCAGGGCAGAGCTCAGAGGCTGAGTTGCAGTGGCGGCTCCAGGTCAACCGTCTCCAGGAGCTCATCGACCAGCTAGAGTGCAAGGTGAGCAGCCATGTAGCCAGCGCCCCGTGGGGGAGGACCTTCCTGGAATCCACCCAAGCCAAGCACACGCCGGGGGGCTTGGCCCACACTCTGTGTCCCTCACAGGCCCCCCGGCTGGAACCCCTGCATGAAGAGGAGCTTACCAAGGGGCCCGACTCGGTGAGTCTGGGAGAGGGACAGGCAGCAGGGTCCCAGGGGCCAGGAGGTGCTCATGATGTGGGGGGATTCGTGGGGCCAGCTGCCAACTCAGGCTCTGCATTGCACACACACATCCTTCCTCAAGCTTGGCTCAGCCCTCATCCCCCAGGCCTGGCAAGAAGGTGCTTTGTTCTGGCCCCCCTTGCTCTGTGACTCTGCAGAAATCACTGCCCCTCTCTGGTCATCAGTTTCCCTCATCTGCATTTCTGAAAGCTAGGTCTGGGGCAGTGTGGATGGAGGCTGGGGGAAATAGTAGGAAGTGGTAGCATATTGCAGCAGAGAGGGACAGTGACTGGCTCAAGGCAGCAACCTTGAGGATGGAGAAAGGAGGATGGAGTTAGGGATATTGGGGGCAGGAGCCCGGCCTCAGGGTAGGCCGGCTCTGGTGCAGGTCAAGAAGGACAGGGTCCTCCTGGAGGCCCCAGCCAGGCCCTCACGCGTGCCCTGGCCTGCCCCGGCTAACCGGGCTTCTCTCTTGCCAGCACATCCTTGTGGCCCAGAGGCAGATGCAGGTGGCAGAGGAAGCCCTGCAAGACTTCCACCGTGCCCTGTGCTGCTACGTGGACTTCACAGGGGCCCAGAGCCATTGTCTGCAGTGAGTCCTCAGCTGGCTGGTGGGCTGGCCGGTGTGGGGACGGTGAGGAGGGAGGAGTGCGGGGCCAGGGCTCCCATTAGGTGCCCCTGGCTGGGTGGGCAGTGGTGGTGGCAGCTGGGCCTGGCCTGGCCATCTCTTTGGCTCTGCAGTGTGTCTGCCCAGAAGATGCTGGATAATGCCTCGTTCACCCTGTACGAGTTCTGGCAGGATGAGGCTTCCTGGAGAAGGTATGAGTGGTGGTCTAATGGCTAACCTGTATTGAGTACGGGCCCTGGAGTGAGTCAGGGCTGGGTTCAAATCATCCTCTCCTCATCTGTGTGACCTCAGGGGAATTACCTAACCCCTCTGAGCCCCAGAGGCCTCCTTTCCAAAATGGGAGTGATAACAGTACCACCCTCGTATGGGTTAAATGAGATGACGTGTAAAGAACCCGACATAGTGTCAGGTACACAGTAGGTGCTCAATGAATATACACTGTCACCATTGCGCCACACCCTATGCCAAGTAACCCTCATATAACCCTCACAGCATCCCAGTGAAGTAGACGCTATTGTCCTCATTTCACAGAGGCAAAAACTGAGGCTCAGAGCCAACACGAGGAAGGACTGGAATCTGAATCCAGGCAGGGGGACTGGAGTGGGAGTAGGGAGCTCTTAACCAGGCGGTCTTGATCTCTGAGGGGCTGGCTCCAGCCTCAGCCCGCTCCACGGCCCTCCCCAGGCACCGGCAGTCTGCCTGCAGTAAGGCCTTCCAGCGCATCCTCATTGACCACTTGCGGGCTCCGGACACCCTCACCACTGTGTTCTTCCCAGGTGTGCTGCAGCCCCCAACCCTCTCCACAGCTCTGGGACCTGGGGAGGGGCAGTGGGGCCCTCATGGCCCCTGACTCCCAACCTCTGACCCTCAGCCTCCTGGTGGATTATGAATAATAACTGAGCCTGACCTGCGTAAGCCAAGGACCCCGGGGCCCTGCCTGCCTCCTTCTGGAGCTTCTGGACTGGTCAACTCAGCACCAAGACCAAGGATGCTGCTGCCTCCTAGACCCGAGGCCTGGCTTTCAGAGGCCTCCCACATGCAGCTGGTGGAGAGTCTCAGCCCAGGGATCAGGGACTGGGCTGCTTGCTTTCTATTCTTTATTTATCAGTGTATTTTATTGTTCGTAGCTTTGGCATTTGAGGCACTCTGGCCTCTGCCCAGCTCAGAAGGCCTGGATCCTGGTCCCCTCTGCCCCTACCTTGCTGTGTGACCCAGGGCAGGTCTTTTCCCTCTCTGAGCGGGCCTTAGGCCATCTGGCTGCCTAGTGGGTGCCCTGCTTTCTTCCTGCTGTTTTGGGGCCAGGCTTCTGTTCTTCCCCAAACAGCAGCAGAACCAGGGCTGATGCTCAGGGACCCCCCTGACCCCGAACCTTGACCCCTGAGGCTGGGCCAGATTTGTCTGCAGTGTGGAGTAAGGACCTGGGTGTCCCAATCACCCTCCGGGGCCAACAGGCTCCCAACTCTTCCAGCACCCACGGCTGCACCAGAGACCTCTGGAGGATCCTGGGTTGGTTTGCATGTTGTTTGCATATCATTTGCATGCTCATGCCCACCCATACTCAGGGCCCTATGGGAAGCCCCAAGGTGATCTTGCCAAGTAGCAATAATTTGGACCCAGAGTCACCTGCTGCCCCTTATACCTCTGATCCCCAGCCCAGGACCCCAGCACAGAGGCAATAAAGGCAGTGGTCACCTCTGGTGTCACATCCTCTTTCTCTCCCTCGGCAAGAAGGCCAGGCTGTGGAGCCGGTTTGCATCTCAGAGCAGAGACTGAAGGCAGGAAAGCTTCCTTAAGAAACCAGTGGCCTCCCATCTCTATCTCCCACACCTGCAGATGGTGGGCACTTGGTCACGGCTGACCTGGGGTCCCCCTAGGCAGGACTCTCCCACTCCACACACTAGGCCATGGGGTCTTGTCTAGGAAAGAGAAGTGGACAGGGTCTCTGCTTTCTGCCCTTCAAAGTCCGCAGGGGTTCTAGCTTCACCCCCCCACCCCCGCCCCCTTGCCAACAGGAGGGTCTGATACTAACCAGGACAGAGCACAGAGCCTTCTCAGGGTCCCAGTCAGTGTAGCTGGATTCTGTGTGGATCCTGTCCCCAGACAGAAGCTCCCCAGCCTGCCTCACCCCCTTCCAGGCTGGACTTGTCACCAGCCGTGCCCCCTGTAGAGCTGCAGAGCGCTTCCAGGAGAGTAGTGGCCAAGCTGGCCAGCCACTGGGGGACCCTCCTTCCAGCCATCTAGGGGGGAGGGATTGGGGGTCATGGAGGGAGGTGACCAACACGGATGAGGGGTCTAAAGGGGAGGCACATGGCACCACAAGAGCACAGGATGGCCTCTGACCTGTCGTGGCGGCATGTTGGGGTCAGGGGTGTTCAGGCAGAAGAAACGTGCTCAGGCTCGGAGCAGGAGGAAAGCTTGCCTCCCTGAGCTGAAGGAAGCCCAGCAGCAGGCTGAGGCTGGGATGGGGGGAGAGCAGGCTGAAGGGGCAGGCGGGAGAGTGGGCCGAGGCTGGGGTGGGGAGGCGGCAGGGCCTCGAAGGCACTTCATCCTGAGGAAGCTGTGGTAGGTTTAAGCGAGGTGGGTGGCCAATGGGCTGAGTGCCATTTCACCAGTGTCCTGAGTGCCCTGGTGGTGCCAGGTCCTTGCTGGGGGCTGGGGCATGGCTGGGAAGGCAGCTCAGATGGTGGCAGCTGAGGGTGGACATCCTAGTCTGGGAGTCCAGGCAGAGTCTTGCCTGAGGTTTCTCCCCGGTGACCCCTGCAGGAAATCAGGCTTGCTGGGACACACAGCTGCTCCTGCCGGCCTGGCCACCTTGGCCAAAGAACCAGCACAGGGGTCCCTGGTGGCTCCTTGGCCAGCACTATACCTGGCTGCCCTCCTGCCACCCCACTTCCCAGACTCCTGGCAGTTCCCAGAAAGTGCTGCCAGCACCTGAATACACAGCTCTGGACGGGCTTGAGGAGGTTTCAGGGTCTGTCCTCGTTAAAGAAGCAGCCCCTCCAGGAGGAAACAATCCTGCTTTCTGTCCTGTGTTCTAATTCCTTCTGTTCTGTTTCCTCCATAAAACAGCAACAGCAAACTCTCAAAACTAAAAACCTTCCCATTGCCATCTTTGAGCAAAGACGCTGAAATCCTCAAGCTGACACCTCTCGAGTGCCTCCGTAGAGCTTGCCTGCCTCACTCTGCAATGGAGTTCTGAAAGTTCTCACCTTTTAAAAAAATAAGACAGGCTGTGTCCTCCCTCCTGTGCTGAAGGCTTGAAGGTGCTGGGGAGTGAACTGCAGGTGGATGGGAGAGTGGCCAGTCCTGCAGGGCTGGGGAAGGCCCCTTGCAGATGGTGCCATGCGGTTAGAGCTGTGAAAGATGAGCAGGGGTCTCCAGACAGATGTGAGGGACAGATAGGCAGGGAAAATGCTGCAGACGAGGGGAGCAGAAGGTGGAACCATGGAGGGCGAGGGATTGGACATGAGCTGCAGGTGGGCCGGGCCAGATGGAGTTTGAATGACGTCCTGCAGATAATGCAGAGCCAGGAGGTTGCCAGACAGGAGGGCACTGTGGTGAGGGTGGGGGCTGCACTGCAGACAGGAAGCTGGAGTGATAGCCACAGGGAGAACAGTTCTGAGCTGGGACTATGGGGGCACAGAGGCCTTTACATTGTGTCTACTTAACTCCTGCAAGCCCACCTTCATCTCTATTGCGCCATCCCTGTGCCCCCCAAGTCTTGGCCATCATCATCTCTGGCCTGGAAGCCTCTTCATTAGGTTTTCTGTCTCCACTCCACCCCCTAACAGTCCTTTCCCTGTAAAGGAACAGCCAGAGGGGGCTTTTAAGACATTGCCATGGTGACCATGCCCCTCTGGCTAAGACCCTTCAATGGCACCCCACTGCCTTCAGTATCAAGATCAAATTTGATTTCTTGACTTGGCATTCAAGGCCCTTAGTAATCAGCCCCAGCTCCCAGTATGTGCAGTCTCCTCTCCCTAAAATACACTCCAGCTGAGTTGGGCTATTTGCAACCTCAGTCACCTCCTTCCTTGGCCTTTGTTCTCCGCCCCTCTCCCACCCACTACAGAAACACCTTCTTAGCCTTTAGGTAGCAGGTCAAAACTGTCAGGTCTGGGTAGCCTTTCCCAATCCTTGCCCTCAATACCCTGCTCTTCGTGGCTCTTCAGCTTATTTCAACAGCCACTGGGCACTTGCTTTGTGGCAGGTGCTGGGGATAATGGAATGTCCCAGGGTGGGACAGCACCTAGGTCAAGGGCAGGCAGACTACAGAAGCTGGGGGAGCACCTGGCTCCTTCTGCCAGCTGCCATCCCCACCCTTTTGCCCACTCCCTGCACCTGCCTCTTCACTTTGCTCCTACCTGTACCGGTGACTCACCTGCACACATTCAGACCTGTCCTGGGGGCTGGCCCAGTGCCAGGCCAGGTGCTGGAGAGACAGCAACAGTCTTCTTGGCTGCCACTGCCCTCCAGCTTTCAGAAACATGCACACCAGGTCCCCTTACCACAGCCTCTGATGGGTCTAAATAAAGGGACTGAGAATTAGGTGAGCCTTCAAGAAGTTATTCTCAAAACAAATACTACTAGAGTAAGACACAGACTCCAGGCAGGATGCTGGGACAAAGACAGATCCTCACAGAAATCACATGGTGGCAGAAGCCAGTTGTGACGGCAGCCTATTTACAGGGGGTTCCTGGGTGCTGGGCCCTGTGCTAGAGGCCACTCCCACATGATCACATTTCACCTCACAACCACCCAGTGGTGTAGGCATCATTAGCATCCCCAATTTACGACAAAGCAGAAATGCAGCGAGTGAGGACCTTGCTCCAGATCACATAGCTGGATCTACTCCTTGGCACCAATAGCTACTTGCTGTCAAGTGTGAACAGCACTGAGGGAGATCTCGGGCATCCTCTGGTAATGAAAACCAGCCCAGGCTGGAGGACAGTGGCAGCTATAACAAAGGAAGGAGCAAGACCACACCCTGGGGCTGCAGGATCGCAGATGGGCAGCAAGGAAGAGCCACGGGAGCACAGCGCGAGATGGAGGGTTGATCTGGTATGGGCTATCCAGGGCCCAGCCCTCGGAAGGTGGGGGAGACCTGAATCCTGATCATTTCTGGAACTCCCTGGGAGGCACCCAGAGAATGTTAGCTGAACTCACGGGGCAGGAAGGCAGCCTCAGAAAAGGGTGCAAAGGGGAAGGCAAAAGTCGCTGGGGTGTGCATTCTGGATAGGACGCTGGCTTGTGGAGGGAGGCGGCAGAGGTAGCAAGTCTGGCTTTGTCCACAAGAGGGCACCTGACACCAGGCAATGAAGCCATCCCAGGGAATCTGGGGTGTTTTGTTGTTGGTTCCCCCAACCCTCTTGGGAGGGAGGATGGCTGAGGACAGGATACCCTCAAATCACGACACTGAAATTCCAGCAGTCAGAAACAAGTACAGAAGGGCAAGATGGGTTTAGAGCGATGCATGTTTCTTTGTTCTGAGTTTTATCATCATCTCAGGCCAATTATTTCCCTTCACACTGAGAAACACGTGTCAGTAGACTTCCTGACTCCAGCTTGACAAAATTTGAAAGGGCTCTCCCCTCAACCTATCTTCCAGAAGGAATAACTGTCTCCTATTTTACATCTCCTCGTTTCTATGAGAAGAAATCATATAGTAATGCTTCACTCATTTTCAGATTCGCCTAATTTGCTGTTCAATAGTGCACTGAGTACTTATTTCAGTGACTACTTGTCATTTCCAGGATTCTCTTTTCAAATCTGCCGAGTTATTTTTGTTCACTTACTTTTTGCTCTTTTCCAGCACCATCTTTAGAGGTTTCAGTTATTTTATATTCTGTATCTGATAATAACATCTGAACTCCCAGGGGTCTAAATCAATTGTTCACTGTTCCTGCTGACTCTTGCTCGTAGTGGCTCATTTCCTGGGATCTTTAGTAATTTTGGGGAGACAGTTTATAATTAGTTGATATGTAACATTATGATTGACATTTTTCTCTAGAGGATTTGCATTTTTGCTTCTGCCAGACACCAGGAGAGACTATAAACCTAGAGTCATCCTAATTTCTCAGCCCGGGGAATCTTTGACCTCTGGAGTAATGCACATTTGAACCTCAGCCCAGGAGAGGGCAGGCATGAGGACGGAACCTCCGGTCAGATTTTCTTTCTTCAAGCAGGGGCAGAGAGGTTTCTGTGCAGCTCCCTTTGCAGACTGGCCGATTCTCCCTGCTTGTCTTATTGCCAAGGCCAAAGCCAGAGTGACCTGGCTTCAGGGAGAGGTCCTGGTTTTGTTTCTCCATTTTATATAGGTTCAAAGCCTAGTCTCACATTCCCCCTAGAAGCAGTTAATCCCTCAAACTGACTTCTTAGAATTTCTTTTGCCCCCAAGCAGCACAGGATTCCTCTTTTGTGTTGCACTATCTCTGTGGTTTCAGTTTACTCTTCATTGTTTTCCTGGCCTTTGGGGATTTCCTGCACTTTTTCATCTGTGATCTCAGCAATGCAGTCAAAAGTGCATTCACTACAATTTCTCCAGCATCTGGGTCTTTTATGGTAACGGTAACACTTCCAGCCTGCCGTCTCTATGGCAAATTGCACACAGTATTTCACTATGTTATCACTTGAGTCCCTGGGACCTTCTTGTGAGAGCCAAGGCAGCCTGTGGATGGCTGATTGTCTACCAATGGGTCTTCGTGCTCGGCCAACAGTCAGGCTGAGATCCTGTGACTGTTCCAGGTGGTGGACTGCAGCGCCGGGCACCGTCTGCATGAAAGATCCTGGAGCTGAGCCACCCTGCCTCCTGGGGACAAGGCCACAGCCCAGCCTGAGATCTAGTAACCAACCTGCCCTTTGCATTTTGGGGGCCTGTGAAGCTGGTTGTGCCCACAAATCTCTCGGGCAAGGCTGCTCAGAAGTAGGTCAAGGGCAGGGGCCAGGGATGGGTATTCAGGTGACAGGAATGAGGCTGGGGCCAGGGCCTTGGGAAGTGAGGCCTCAGGTCATTGGCTAGGAAACTTCACTCACAGTCCAAGACTCCACACACAGGTGCGCCTGCATCAATCTGGGGCATGTCACAGTTGGTTAGACCACCTCAGAGCCACAGAAAGTACTACTGGGGGCCCACTGGAGGCACGGCAAGCTGGCAGGCTTTCAGGGAAAGCAGTTTGAACACAAGCTTCGAGGATTCAAGAAATGTTCAGTCCTAGAAATCCCATTTTGGAAAAGTATCCCAAAGAAATAAATCCTGTGAAAGAAGACGTTCACTTCATTATGCTGGAGAGAGAAAACTTGAAAGCAATCCAACTGTCCAACAAGAGGTGAAGAGTTAAGAAAATTATGGCCTCGATGTAATCGTACCACCATTAAGCAAATAAATGTGAAGGCAACAGTGAACTTACGATTTAACATCAGTGTAAAAAGGACATGAGTGAATATTCACAAGTCCAGGTATATTAAGAATTTTTAAGGAAACACTTAAGAGTTATTAGAAGAAAGTACCTACAAGTTCACTACCCTATTTTTCAAACTTTCTGTGGTTGTATTTTCCTTATTAAAAGATCACTTAACAGTAAAGAAGAGCACTAACAAGGAGCTGAGAGGGTCTGTGAGGCGTTGCTGGCAGTGGACTGCAGGTCCACGAGGTGGCCAATAGCAGCACGAGCAGCCAGCCTGGTTGGGCCCGGGCCGCCCTGCTGGCTTCCCAGAGGTCCAGCACCTGGACCCTTCTCCTCAGCAGTACCTCTTGCTTTCATCCCACGTGCTCTTCAGGCCACAGCAAGAACCACTGGAGCCTTCCCACCCACCAAGATTGGGGAAGGTGCGGGAGGGGACACAGAAGTCTGTCAGCAGGATGTCTCGCAGTGACCACCTTCCCTCCTAGTCCCATTCCAGCCTGAGTCAGAAAAGGAATATAGCCTTTTTATTGACTACTTTAAGTAGAACAAACTAAATACATATTTAACAGTTTTGGTTCATTTATACAGTACATTAAATAAGTTATGCACAGAGTTAAGTAACAAAAGTTCCTATCAGAGTAAAATGACAAAGCACAGAAAAACCAGACTGTACTGCATCCTGTGGGTGGTTTCATTCATCTTCACCTTTAAAAACCACGGGTGGAGGCTTAGTTTTCCACTTATTTACATTATTGGCTTTCTTCTAGGACGGAGCTTTTGCAGCCTCATCAGGAACTTGGAAAGCCATGAAAGTGGACCGAAGGCCTCTTAGCCAAACAGCACTTTCAACCATTCGCCTAATGCTTATTGCTGCTTTTCTCTGCCAACTCCAGCGCAGGGACAGGGCTGTCCCTGCCAGCCGCACATGCCCTATTTGGTATAAGCATCAATGAGTGTCCACTGGGCAGCTGTGGGCCTGACCAGGTGGGGTCTGCAGGGGAAGCGCCATCTCTGGGGCTGTAGAGGGGAAGGCGGGATGCCAGGTCTGCCCTCAGGCCTCCTAACCTTCTCCTGGCTCACGATGGAAAAGCTCACCTGCACCATCATCTTTGGAAATGAGCACGTCAATGCACATGGGCAGAGGCAGGCAGTCAACATTTTGGTTTCACAAGAACTACAGACACTGAGAGTTGGAAGGACCCTATTCAGCAGCTCGCCCAGCTCCCCACCCAACCCCGGGCAGGACTCCTCCCCAACAGCTGTCTGTCCGGCCCATGCTGGAACAGTCCAGGTTCCTCTGGTTTTTCTTACATTTGGTTCAAACATGCCACTGCCCAGTTCTCTGCAATAGCTAAAAAAAAAAATCTAAGGAAGTTGGCTTGATCTACTGACCCAGGAGCCTGGAAACTAGTTCTGAAAAAAGCCCCTAAGATGTGTTCTACTTTAAACAATTTATTCAATCCATAATCCCTTCTACAGTTTCCAGGACAAATGGCCACCTGGTCATTATTTATGCTTTCATTCCGAAGAATTCACTACCATAGAATTGCAATTGTGTTGTTGAATCTTCAAATCCACTTGCTGAGATATCATCTGGAACTAACCAGAACCAGGCCTACACCCTTTGCAAGCAGGTGACAGCACTGGAGATCAATTTGACTTTGGGACAAGGCCATACAAAGTAAAGTATAGATTTTCTGTCTAGAAGCTGAAGATGCTCACATAGACACCAAGAAGCAAGGGGCTCTTGGTAGACCCACCGGCTTGGATGGGCAAAAGAGGTCCACACAGCACAGGGCACACTGCAGCCAATGCCAGACATGGACTGTGCTGAGTAGATGTGTCCTGTTTCCAAACTTAGATCCATCGAGAGACATATATGACTCAGCACCGTCCAAGAAAAGATCTACTCACTCTGTGACTTCAGTCACATGACTGTGCCTGAGCAGATCTGCTAGAGCCCCACCCCTGGAGCTGCAGGGGCCCTCCTGAGTGGAGTGATCTCACCTTATAAGGTGGGCTGCCTATTCCTGAGCAGGTGGAAAATTAACCAACTTCTTCCCATGTCAGTTTTCACCACTGGATGGAGTCAGGCACGGTGCAGCAGTGGGGACACAAAGGACAACTGAAGATACGAAGATCCAGCCCCAAGTATCCCTTGGAACATTTAGAGACGACTCCTATTTTGGCCACTTTTGGTCTCTTCTCTGTTTCCTGCAACAACTCCTCACTGGGCCGAGGACAGTGATGCTCCATCACTCATCAGTGTCCCTCACTGGGTGATGCTGAGCACTGGCTTCATCCTCCAGATTTGTTCTGACAGGTGAGTAGGCATGTGTCACATCTGCTTTTGGTTCTACGATAACATGGAAGAGCCTGTCACTGCCCTGACAACACCCTTAGTACCACCACTCTGAGGTCCTCTTTGACTTTTTGTCCCCCTAAATATTAACTATAAAAGTTGGTCCTCTAAGCAGCCTGATTATATTAAGATATTTTAAATCTAACTAGAAGAAAGTGAGAAGTCTGAACCTGCGCCCCTAAACTGGTAGTTGGGGTAGTGCCAGCAGACACTGGATACCAAGTGGAAACCTGGACTCACCCCTGCTCCTCTAGCCACCCCCCTTCCTCCTGCCCCCAACCAGAAAGCTGGAGGATTTCAGAAAGGAGGCAGCTGGAGAAAGGGATTCTCCACATCTAAACAGGAAGTCTTGGACAGATGCCCTATGTGTGTAACTGACTAAAATTAACACAGCAAAAGGTCTGAGAACTGAACTACAGTTGGAATACTGCCCAGGTTTTCAGCTTGGTCTCTGGGTAGCACATGAGCAAGGCAGTATGCAATAGCATTACAAAAACTCTGAAAACTAAGCTGTCACTGGAACCACAGCCCACAAAGGTAGGCTAGGACCTGCACACACAACCTAAATGTTAGCTGTAGAAAACAGACATTGAGCCCTGACGAACTATATCTTGTTGGTTTTGGCTCTTTATTCCAACGAGGAAAAATCTGTGCTACTCTGGCTAGTCTTGTGGCCACTGAAGATTTAAAGAACCCACCTAGGTGTTCAAGTGCCGATGAAAAGACAGTGAGCCAAGGACAGACCTGGTGGACACATGAGACACCCTCTTGCTATAACTGATTAACAGGTTCCACGACTCTTCATGGGACATCCCACATCTTGTGGAAATGTAAGCAAGTCCTGTCCGGGGTACTAATTTCATCAAAAGTCAGGACACCTCCCAGCGACTGCAGTTTAAGGAGTTCCACAATAAGGTAACATTATTCCGTTAGTCTTTCTCTAGGTCTACTTTACTTTATGCCATGGAAATCCAGGTAATTTAAAGGTGCTTTGTACTGAGTTTCTTTGTAAGACAGAAAATCCTTAGGTAAGGTAAATTAGGGATTTAAAGTTCTTAAAGTAAGATACACCTATTTGCAAGGACAATGCTACCTATGCTGATCCCTTTACCTTTCCGGGACCAGGAGCTTTTATTTCACTCTGGTCAGTGCACAGAAGGTTGCCATCTAAAGCTGGGCCAACCAACTCACCCCAACTGGTTCCTTGGGGCGACTGGGTGCTGCAGACTTGGAGGTGGAGACTGGGAGAGTCAGGGTCCTAGGGCTCCCAAGGAAACCTGAATGGCAGGGAAGGATGTGTGTAGCTGTTCTTAACATTTTCAAAGGGGTATAAGTGATGTCATGTTTGGAGAGCCAGGTAAACTGCTGGAAAACTCTCTGAAGACAGGAAGAAAAATTGGTCAGGCTTTCTCAGAAAGGTTCTGACATTTCACAAAACTTCTCTTAGCTCAAAGAGGGCAGGTATCAAACAACACAAGAGAAGGGAAAGTGAAATTGTATGCCCGACAGTAAACTGACGTAGTATGTAAGACATGAAACCACGAGGTTTGAAGAATTCTTTCAGGTCCAAGAGGGCTGCTTAGAAGTGACCAGGCCTTGACTGGTGAGGAAGTCCTAGCCACACCACATCACATCCTATGGGACAACTGCAGCTTACAGGGCGCCAAACAGAGACCACAGGAAGAAGATCCACACAGTGATCTGGACATGCGTGGTCTGAGATAAAAGGATACAGAACAAGACGACTGTGCAACAGCCAAGCGGTGGTAAAAGCTTCTGCATTTCCAGTAAATGATCCATTCAATAATCCGACGATACAAGTTTGGCCAACATGCTCAGAGAGAAGAGACTATCCACAATTGAGTCTCATTCTCCCTCAGACCAATCCATGCGCTGGAAACTATTTTCTGCACAAGCAAACTTAAAGAAGAGAGGAAAAAATGGGTCCCAAACTAATGTAGCCAGCCAGGTTGGAAAATCTTGTCCAAAATGATCTGTGATGCCTGGAGGAAGTTTTATTTATTTTTTATTATTACGGTGCTTTCACTGAAGTGGTGACTTCTTTCCTGTGGTTTCTGAGAATCTTAAGTCTCAACAGCAGGGTCAAGTGGGCGAGTCCTGAGTGCTGCTTTGTGCCTGCCTAAGTCTCCATGGGGCCAATGAGTGGCACCTGCTGAGGGTGAAAATGGGGCTCAAGGAGCTGTTCAGGGGTGAGAGGGCCACTCTGTCAGAGGAGGGCCTCCCCCTCGGCCTGCTGTCAGCCTCCAAGCCTCTGCTGCAGAAGGACGACGGAGTAGCAGACAGTGCAATGGAGTAAGCTGCCTCCAGCCTGGCTGGACACGTTCGACAGTCTGCTGCCTCAAGAGGCAGGGAGGGGAGCTGGTGGTCTACACTGGAAAAGAGCTGGGAGAGGAACAAACCAGAAAGCCATGGAGGAGGCAGCTCCAGCCAGCTGCCTGTGTGCAGAGAGAATGGCACACCAGCTCCCACAGAGGGAAACTGGGGCAAGTGTCCAGAGGGGTTGTGGAGCAGTGTTTGCTGGGCTTGCACTCTTCCTGCCTCCACTTCACTGCTTGTTGATGACCCAACAGCCACTTGCACTGGTTCAAACAGCCAGCCCCCGGTGCAGTGCTCTGCTGTGCTGCAAGGTCATCAGGTGAAGTAAGTCTGCAGCTCAGAGTCCATTGGTGTCGATGGCTGTCACAGAGGCAGGTGTCGAGGAGCGCGAGGTGGTTGCCGAGGTCTTGTCCAGGGCCGGGCTCGGCACACTGCAGTCGGCAGACCGGGCCGAGGAGCCCCTCACTCCAGGAAGCAGTGGCCGGCTCTGGCTGTGGGGACTCTGGCCATGCAGGTTCTGGCCACAGAGGCGGTGGTGCCGCTCCCAGTCCTTATGCTGGCAGAAAGAGCCGCAGTATCGTGCGATATTGCAGCCACTGCAGGTCTCACTGGCTTTGCGGCCACAGTTCCAGCAGTTCTGCAAGACACAGGCAGTGGTTAGTTGCTTGGATCTCATGGGGCAGGCTTGTCATGACTCGTCACCTGCACTGTTGAAGAGGGGGCTGTATGGGGACAGCATGGGTTCTTGGGCTACATATACCTGCGCTTGTCCTGCCTCTCCTGCTATCTGCTTTCTGAGTTTCCTTCATCTGCAAAACAGGAAAACTACCTACTGGGCTGACGGGACAGAGAGACAGCGGGTGTGTGAAAATACCCACAGCATCATCACAGGGCAGGTGGAAGTCCCATCTCCTGCTGGAGGCACCGACTCATTATTTTCACTCCTATTTTAATCCTCAGTGACCAAACCAAGCTCTGTCCCAGGGTCCCCCCACCACAGCTATCTATTCTAAGACCACAAATACATACGTGTCAAAAAGGTGTTTTCTCATCTTGATTGTTTTCACTGACAACACCTGACCTTTTAAAAAAGTCACCTGCCAAGGGACCAAGACCGGCGAGAAGGAGTGGGGGTAGTTGTGCTACTTCCTCTGTGCCCACTCTCCTTTCAGTGATGTGCCTCGTCACAGGTGGGCTGGGATCTTGCAAATCCTCCTGGTTCATGTATGGGAGCCTCCTGCAACACCTCAGCACTCAGGGCCCAGGAGGTCTCGGTCAGGGAATTTTCTTACTACTCTCTGCACTTTCCTGCAGGGAGGGCACGAATTGCTAGGGCTTAAGAAGAAACCACGGCAGTGTGGGACTGGGGGGTTGGGAGGGTGTCTGAAGTGCACCAGCTGAGAATGCACTAATTCTATGATAGAAGATATGAGCCAAGTGATGCTTGGTTACAGCTAGAAGTAGTGCCATGAAAGAAGCACTAGAAACAGTATTTGAACAGATGATGCTTCACTTCTCTCAATCAACTAAGAAGGAAGAGCAGCATCCTGAAGAATGCTGCCACCAAGCACAGCTCCCAGCACCTGCCCCTTGGTACCCTCCTTCCTGTAGTCTCCCTTGAGGACGCCACTAGGGACACATGAGTGTCATGCACCTGAGGTCTCCAGGACCCACTTATAAGAGAAAAAGCCCCATGACTTTGCTAGGTGAAGCTATCAGGAGTGGGTAAGGCTTTCTTAGGTGTCAGGAAGGACTTGAGTAGTCAGCACCCCACCCCCTCACCCCAAGTTCTCCAGAATGGCAGAAGCCAGTCACGAGGCCGGGCCTGACCACTCCTCTAGTCCCCTCAAGAAAGACAGACACCACCCCCAAAGAAACCAGGACACTTGCTCAAGTGAAAAACAATAGACAACAAGTGCTGAAAAGGGCCTTGGGTTCATCTTGCCCACTTCTTGTACAGATGGGACACTGAAGGCCAGCGGGCAGAGACTTACCTAAGGTTATAAAATGATTATGTGGCTATGCAAAGCCTGGAACCCAGACCTCCTAACTCCGCAATATTCAATGTACAAGTTTAGTTTCAAAGAGCATTAGAAAGGACTGTAGATTCCCTTCCAACACAACAGGCTTCTCAGGATATATACTCTGAGGACTGCCAAACTTGCCGATACCAACACCAGGGGACCAAAAGAGGGAACAGAAGGAATTTTTAGGTCACCGTTACAGATCCTCAAGCAAACTGCATTCAGAGAATTTCAGTACTTTGGAGTCTGATAGGCTGACTCCAAACAATGCTTTGGCAGAACATTAATACTTGTGGGGAAGAACTCAGTTGTTGCCTAGGTGGGGCTGCTGTGGCAACATACGCCACAAGGTCAACCCCAGGCGAATGAGAGAAACTTTACTCTCTTTGTCCAAGTCTGAAAGTAAATCTCACACCGGGGCACAGCATTAAACCACTGGAACTTGGGGTCAGCCTCATGGCCGAGTGGTTAAGTCCGCATGTTCCGCTTCAGTGGCCCAGGGCTTCACTGGTTTGGATCCCGGGCAAGGACATGGCACTGCTCATCGGGCCACACTGAGGCAGCGTCCCACATACCACAACTAGAAGGACTCACAACTAAAAAACAGACAACTAGGTACTGGGGGGCTTTCAGGAGAAAAAGGAAAAATAAAATCTTAAAAAAAAAAACGACTGGAACTTTCACCGTGGCTGCCTATTTAAAATAGCTTATTTCATGATTTATGAGATACAATGAGACAAGATAAACAGCTTCCCACAGAGGCAGGATCACAGAAATGCAGGAACAACGTGGTTAGTGTCAGAGTAGCCAGGGTGAAAAAGACACTTTCACGTTCCCTTTCCCTGTAGCTTTTCCCTGACTTAACCATGAGGCTTTTTGCCAAGATATAAGATAAAAGACTTATTACTGTTGTAGCCACCCTTCAAATCAGCGTTCCTCAAAGCTGGAGCAACACATTTGGCCAAACAGTCCCTTGTAGTTAATGGGAGAAGGTTATAAACCTTCTGAGTTACTGACTAGGAAAGTCAGAAATGGGATTCCAGAATTTCCTTTGTCAAGAATGGGCCATAAGTTTATGCCAATATTACACCAAGCGTGGCCTGGGGACCACCTGTACCAGGACTACCTGTTGTTTTTAGTGCCATCAAGCGGATTCCAGCTCCTAGCAACCCTGTGTACAGCAGAGCAGAACTCTGCCAGGTCTTTTTGCCCCATTCTCTCATCTTTCAGAGCTGTATCAGACAATGCTCTGCTGCTATTCATAGGGTTTTCATGGCCAGTTGTTTCAGAAGTGGTGGTCCTTCTTCCTAGTCTGTCTCAGTCTGGAAGCTCAGCTGAAACTAGTCCACCATGGGTGACCCTGCTGGTATTTGAAATAGTGGTGGCAGAGCTTTCAGCATTATGGCTACATGCAGCTGCCACAGTATGACAATTGACAGGTGGTGTGGTTCCCTGATCAGGAAATGAACCTGGGCCATGGAAGTGAGAATCTTAACCACCAGACCACCAGAACTGGCTAGAACTACCTGGGGCTTGTCAAAATCCCTGGAACCAATCCCAGACCTCCCTGACCTTACTGCAAACCTGGCCCAAAGGAGAAATGACTCCTCATCTTACAAGCAATTGCTAGCCCATTGTGTTTGCCAAGAAATCCAGGCTGGGGACAGAAGGTGCCCTGTGGTAGAGATAGGGAACCTCTTACTTCCATTCCTCCACGCAAGGCATTACAGGAGACATGCTTGGGTCTGGCCTCAGAGAAGGCGGCTGTTTTACAAGAGTAGGAGCTGCCACAGCTTATACATGTATGTTGTTAACAACAGAACAAAACCCTTTCCAGCTGCACAGTGCATTGCAGTTTAAAAACACTTTTGCAACCATGATCGAATTATATCTTCCTAAAAACTATGAGACTAGCACGATAGGGGCTAATCATACAGAGAAGGAAACTGACTCCTCAAGGGTACACTGCCATTGTGAAGGGGAACTGGGACCAGAACTCAGGGTTCCTAACCTGCAGCCCAGGGCTCCTTCCGCTAGACCAAACCACCTCTCACAGGATGAATAAGAAACTTCAGGGAAACCTACTAAACTTCAAGTAGAATTTTCTGGATGACACGGAGGGAAATCAGTCCTCCTGGCCCAACGCAAACTCACCCAAAGCTTAGGCCCTGCTATCCCTGCCCTGTTTGGGAAGGTTTGCTGGGATGGATGCTGGTGTGTGCCTCACCTGCAGGCCACCTCGGGCACTGTTTAAAATGACAGCTCCTTAAAAGCACAGTCCTATAAATGGAGAGCTGGGATTTAAATCCTGCAGGGCAAATCCAGAACTCATGCTCTTAGCCAAAATGTTACACTTCTTTGGAGATAGACATAATTAAATACAACAAAAATAGAGATATCACTGCTTAAAAACAATTCTAAAGAAAAAGCAGCAGGGGAGAAGGAAGAGACGAGGGTTACAGGAACTGTTTTCTCACACTTCAACGTCTTTGCTGGAGTGCTACAATAAAGAATTTTCCACATCTTCTGTGATGGCCACATGACATTTAGGCATTTCATCTTCATATTGCCATGCTTGGCATTGCTATATTGACAGGGCTCATTTAAACAGAATGAGAAAATAAAATCTCCATTGTTTAACTTCAAGAGAATGTCCCAAGGACAGCTGATCTCTCAAGTGGTAGATGGGATCTATCTACTTTCAGAAACAGGCTTCTTTCAGGTCTTAAGTTTATCTGAAAAACCCTAAAATAAAAGTTACAGAAAAATTTTGTTACCATTCAAAAGGACTGATGATGATTTTGTCATATGCTCTTTTCTTTCCAGTCAGTTCATTTTTGTCCTCATTATAGAACAAGAGTGTCCTGTGCAGAAGCATCACCAAGTCCTGGGCCCTGAGTCTGGGAGAGTGGGGCAGGTCTGCTAGATCTGTCACTTCAATTCATAAAAGAACTATCCTGTTTAGAAACAGACCGGATGCTACAGGGCCCTGCTTTTCCTCATCCTTGCAACCTGGCTTCAGCACCGTGGGATTATTCAGTTAAATTCCCTGAGCCACAGTTTCCTCATTTGTAAAATTGGAATCCAACAATACCTACCTCACAGGGTTGTTCTGAGGACCAAAAAGACAATGCACACACTTAGCTCTGTGTCTGGCACATAGGAAGCCCACTCAGTCAATGGTGGTCATCGTTATCATTCAATTCCACAAACTCCGTCTTTAGGGTGAGTTTTCAAAATTTAAACCAACATGAACCAAGACAATATAATAATTGAGGAACAAAACTCTTCCGGTACTGAATAAAAATTATAATCATCTAGTTCAAGAGCAAACTATTGTGTCTTACTGCCCAGCACCTGAAAAGAAAGTAGTGGGCTTGGTCACTCCAGCTGCCCCAGCCCCAGCCCCCAGGGCTAACAGAGCTCTGACCTCCGTAGACTCTTCTTGCTCGTTTATGACGAGGAAGGCGTCCTCTGCAGCCTGCCGTTTGACATCTGCTATGGTTTGCTCCATCCGAGCTCTCTCTGTTGCAATCACTTCAAAGGCTTTTTGTTCTGCCTCGGCAACGGCTTTCTGGACTTCTGACATGGCCTGAATTTTCACCTTATTCACAGCTTCTTCTAGAAGAAAGTGACAGTAAAATCAACTGGCCGAGAAATCTTTTCCCTCCCACTTCACATCATTTCCTAAGAAGGGACAGAGCTGAAACAAGATGACTTTTCTAAAAACATACAGGGATGAACATATGACATACGCATTCACTTTTATTCTTATACTCACTTGTCCATTCATGCAATTATTTGTTGGGTAGGTAGATAAAGGTGGGCACTGTGCCAGGGGCTGGGGATACCTGGTGACTAAGACATAATCCATCTTCTCATAACTGTTTGTGAAAGTATAAAGGTGGCTTAGGTGCCATCATATATGTCAGTATAAGACAAGAGTTCCAAGGGAAAAAGTGATCAGCTTAACAAGTGGCAACGGAGCATCAAGAAAATGTGTCTAGGTTGAGATGGTTGAGAAATTCATTCAAAATTTAGTGAATTTTTGGAAAGTCTTGCATTCCATGCTAAGGAATTTGGCCCTTTTTCTAAAGAAAATATGAACCCCTAAAGGGTCCCATGCAAGGAAAAAAGGCTGAAGACAGAGATACCAACTGAGAGGCTAAGGCAATGATCTAGCTGATACAAGAGATTCTGAATTGAGGCAGAAGCAAGTGGCATAGAAGGGATGAGGCAGAATGAGGATGGTAGCCTCTAAGGGCCTGGAGGTGGAGGTAAAGGAGAGGAATGCTAGTGCTATGCAATGAAACAGATAAGTAAAATGCTGTGGAGGCAAGTGAGAAGGTGAGGTGCCTCTGGGGTATCCAGGTACAAAGGACCAGGAAGCAATTAGGAATATAAGACTGAACTCAGTAAGAAACATGAGCTGTAGGGGCTGGCCTGGTGGCCCAGCCGTTAAGTGCGCACGTTCCGCTTGGGCGGCCTGCGGTTCGCTGGTTCGGATCCCAGCTGCAGACATGGCACCGCTTGGCACGCCATGCTGTGGTAGGCATCCTGCATATAAAGTAGAGGAAGATGGGCACGGATGTTAGCTCAGGGCCAGTCTTCCTCAGCAAAAAGAGGAGCATTGGCAGCAGATGTTAGCTCAGGGCTAATCTTCCTCAAAAAAAAAAACAAAAAAGAAGAAGAAGAAGAAGAAGAAGAAGACAGACACATACCAGTTTTTTTCCAAAACTCCACAGGTACATATCCTGTTGTTGGCCTACTGTTGAATTCCCGCTGAGAATCTACAGAAGAGAGATAAACAGCATAGGGTCAGAAGCTATCTATAATCGACATGTTTTATTTTTATGAAAAATTTATCAGGCCTCTCATTCACCACTTAGAAAGATCAAAACATATACGGTCATTTAGTGCAAAACATATTCTGGTAAGGGATAAAAACAGATCATAAAATAGTACACTGTTTAGTTTTAAAACAGACACAAGTGTAGACGCACATACACATGCATACCTCAAATATTAACAGTAAAAGTAGTGAGATTTTTTTTTTAAAGATTTTTAAAATTTTCCCTTTTTCTCCCCAAAGCCCCTGGGTACATAGTTGTATATTTTTAGTTGTGGGTCCTTCTAGTTGTGGCATGCAGGACACCGCCTCAGCATGGCCTGATGAGCAGTGCCATGTCTACGCCCAGGATCCAAACTGGCGAAACCCTGGGCTGATGAAGCAGAGTGCGCAAACTTAACCACTCGGCCACGGGGCCAGCCCCAGTAGTGAGATTAAAAGTGATCTTCCCTTTCTTTTTTTTTACTTATCTGTATGCTCTTATTTTTTCCCTTATGAACATGTATGTATTTTTAAGGCACTCCCTAAAATATAACTACAGATAAAAATTTCTGTGTGTGTCTGTATCCAATTTAACTGTCCCCATCATGCACAGGTTGCTGGCAAGTGCTCTCTGATATATCAGGGAATATGGCTTTTGTTTTGTGGCAACTCTGAATCCTTACAGGTAACTTAAGGAGGTTTCCTTTACAGTTTCTTAAAATGCTCATCAACAAAGAAACAAAAAAGCACGTAGTAAAGAAAATACTGATCTGGAACAGTGTATTTCAAATGTACCCCAAGAGGCATCCAAGGGGGTTGCTGGGAAGGGGACAAGGGTGAGTGACTTATCATATATGTTTATTGTGATTATAAGAAATGGTACCATTGCTTTAAAAAGTGTGAAAACTAATTAAGGTAACTTGAATTTTCCTTCTTCTTCTTCTTCTTTTTTTTTTTTTTTTGGTGAGGAAGATTGCCCCTGAGCTGACATCTGTGTCAGTCTTCCTCTATTTTGTATGTGGGACGCCTCCACAACATGGCTTGATGAGTGGTGTGTAGGTCTGCGTCTGGGATCTGCACCTGTGAACCCCAGGCCGCAGAAGCAGAGCGGGTGAACTTAACCACTATGCCACTGAGGCAGTCCCTGAACTTTTTTTTTAATGAGTCAGTGCTAGCCGACTTCCTCATTTCCTTATGCTTTGTTGAGGCTAATCTGAAAAGTAGATTTTATGCTCTGAACACTCACTCACCAACCTATGGTGCAAAGAGGAATCAGGGGAACAGCCAGTGTGGCAGGGGATGCCAGCCTGGCATGAAACGCTGTCTGAGGAGCCTTATAAAATGGTTAGTCCTCATGAGAATGCCCAGGAATTGGCTGCAAACTGGTGTTGGATAGGGTGGGAGTCTCTCCCATTCCAAGAGCTATCATCAAAAAGAACCTACTTCTGTATCCCCTGGAGTGATAAGGGGATAATAAGATTTTTTTTATTCATGTAAAATACACATAAAAATTTACATATATATATATATATATATATTGAGGAAGATTAGCCCTGAGCTAAGATCTGCCACCAATCCTCCTCTTTGCTGAGGAAGACTGGCCCTGAGCTAACATCCAGGCCCATCTTCCTCCATTTTATATGTGGGACGCCTGTCACAGCATGGGTTTTCAAGCAGTGTCATGTCTGCACCCGGGATCTGAACTGGTGAACCCTGGGCCACTGAAGTGGAACGTGAGAACTTAACTGCTGCACCACAAGGATAGACCCTGGCCAATTTTTAAAACTTATTTAAGCCTCAGTTTTGCCATGTAAAAGAATATAATAGTAGTTCCTTTATCTCATTCGGCACTTTTGAAAACACATGTAAAAGCCTCAGCACTGGCTGAAACATAGTAAGAGCCCAGATAAGCTCTTATTACTAAAAGTGCTAACTAATATAGTCAGAAAGGTCAATGAAGGAACCAGACTGAAGTATTTAATAAAATGTAGCATCTGATAATTATGTCATTTCAACAGATAAAAGATGAGCATCATTAACTGATGGCAGGAAAATTTAAACTACTTGGAAAATTTTAAATGTATGTGTTTAAAACTCAAACATATCAAACTTCAATATAACATAGATGAAATTTATTGTACCGTGGGTAGGGATGAAGGTCAAGGAACAAACCACAAAGGAAGACAGGTTTGACCCCATAAATATTAGCTATCCTATCCATCAAAACAAACCAAGATCAAGTGAGCAAAAACGCCTACATGCACAATCCATTCATTTTACAGCTAAGAATATATCCTAAGGGAAAAAGGCACGGTTTGAAAAATTCTTACTATACAGAGATTTTAAATATTGCAGTACTCACTGAAAAAGAAAAACAAAACAAGCAAAAACCCATAATGTTCAAGAACAGGAATAGCTTAAGGAAATTATAGTATATTTACAAGGTATAATATTGTATAGTTACTAAAATTGTTTATAAAATCTATAATGATGTGAGATCATGCTTAATATGAATTACATTTTCAAAGAAATCAGTACAAAGTTGTAGTTCAGTATTCTCAGATACATTTCCAAAATTCTTCAGTGTGGGATGATGATCTAGTAAATTCTTTATATGTTTCTGTATTTTCTGCAATAGGCCATGCAGTTTCACTAAAAAATGATACTTACCTCATAAGGTTGCTCTGAAAATTAAACGGTAATGCACAGAAAGGAATGTTTCTCAACTCTGGTAGCCCAGGTCCCACCTCAGACCAATTAAATCAGAATCTCAAGGTGGGGCCAGGGCATCAGGAGTTTTGCAGAAGTCCCCAGGTGAGTTCTAATGGGCACCCAGGGTTAACCACCAAAGACAAGCACCTGGCTTAGAATCCAGCCTTCATGGTTAAGGTCTTCCAAACCACACTAGGAGATTTACCTCTCTGCAGGTCATATATATTTGCTATTATAACAATGGTAAAGTGTCTTTTAGCTGACTCTTCCTTCCAGTATTGCTACATCTTGATTTTTTCAGTTGCAGATATTATTGATTGACTAACCATTTCATTAAGAAAAAGTTTCATTCTCTTTTAACCCCCACCCGACCCCACCAGACACATTCACAATTCCTTCCCCTTCCTTTCCCCTAGAGAGATACTCAATACATCAATAGTCAACATTCACAGTACTCAATGTAAATGCTAATCACAGCTAGTCACGTGGTTCAGACTCTATGAATCTTTTTATCTTCTTCAACAAGTTTTTGTTTTTCTTAGAGTTAATAATTGCCTTGTTTATTCACGTGCTAAGTTTCTTATGTAAATATTTCTAAGTCAATCTCAAATTCTCCTTCTATTGTGTAAATATTTTATAAATTTCATTTTCTGAAAGAAATCTCCAGCAAGCTTCTGGGCTATTCCAGTGTGAACTGGCTGCTTTCCAGGCTTGCTGTACCACTGTTGCTGGGGACCCTCCTTCACCATCCTAGGGATTCCCTTCCTCTCTCTTTATCTAGTTCCACCTTCTGGTTTACTTCTTGTATTGGCGTAAATCCTACCAACCGTGGTAGACACCATGATAAAGGGTAGATGGGAGGTGCATTTTTCGAAGAATTGTGGGTTGTTAATCTAACACTTAATTGTTGTGGTTGAGTACAGAATTCTAAGTTAAAATAACTTTCCTTCAGAGTTGTCCTCTAACTTTCAGTGATGCTAACTAATAAATCTTTCTTCCACCGTGTTTACTTGGGAGAGTGGTTCAACCTGGAACACTGTCTTTCAGTTCTAAGTAAATTTTTTGAATTATTTCAACAACTATTCTCTCTTCTCTTTCTGTTCTGTTCACTGTTTCCGAAACTCAGATGATTTGGATATACGAGTTTCATGGATCCTCTTATTTTCTTATCTTTTTCACTCCGGGGATATTAACAATGTATTTTTTGAAGTTTTCCTTTCCCTGAAAAGCTGCTGTTAACTCCTATTTCTGTTTCCTATTTTGGTCTCCACTTTTATAATATCAGAAGCTTACCTAACTAAAACTTTGGTCACCCTTGACTGTTTGCTAACGCACGTCACTAAAAAGCTTCATGAAAGCCCCATGACTGTGGATGGTACTGATTGTGGGCTTAATTAGAGGCAGCTCTCCCAACTCATTAAACATAAATATTCAGATGCCTGGGTCCCTGAATTATAACCTCCAGGGAAAGACTTGGAATGCGTATTTGTTATAAAACAGCTAGGTGACTCTCATTCTCAGGAAAAACTGATAGCTGAGTCAGTTTCTTTACTTTTTTTTTTTAAACTTTAACTGCAAAACATTAGGTGGCTAACAAGTTCATAAAAATATTAATGCATAATTTAATGAAAAATTATGAAGTGATCACCCATAAACCTCCAGATCAAGAAAGAGAAAACTTTCAGCAACCCAAGTCCCCAAGAAGTGAGTAAGCCACAGCTCTGTTTAAATGATGCTAGCCAGACTTGCAACTGTCCTGAGAACAGCTAAGAAGGATGGCAAGAGCTCACTCTGCACTCTACGCCATCTACACCTCCACCTCACAACCCTAGAGGAGACCATTCTCTTAAATCCTATAATAACCATTTTCTTGCTTTTTTCTTAACGTTTTTGCACTTATTTACGCATCTTTAAATAAAATACCAAAACATCCCTTGGTGTCTGAACAGAATCTGTTTCTGAAAATACTGTGAAACACAAATTTTCAGATTGAGAGAACCTATATTTTATTATTTCAAATGGCAAAAGGAATAATGCTATCCAGTCTCTAGTTGATTTCTCTCCAAATCACCAAAAGACTTAAATACTAAAAAATAACAATCCACCTGGATTTCTGCAGAACACCAAACATTTAAAACACTAATTATCTAATTATTTAGAAGTCATTGGTGAGTATACTTGTGTGCTATGCCAAGAATACTGCACAGTATAGGACAGTGCTACTCAAAGCAGTAGTCTACAAACTGTTATTGGTCCATGAAGAGATAAGGAACTTATGCCAGAATGCAAAACAATTATGTCTCTGAGCACATAAAGCAAGCACTGCTTAGTTTAGGGGACCCTTCTCAAAGTGAAGCAAGCAGTCCCCAGTACATCCGGGGTAAGCACGTCATATCATCACAGACCAGTAACAAGTAGTTTCTGGAGTGGTTTTGGTCCACATTTTGAATAGCACGCTTGTTTAGGATATGAATTATGCTTTCTTTCTACACTGCAACCACCATGTACTATAAGAGAAACAGTGAAATAAAAACACTAAATATGTATAATATGCACAAATAAAGATATTAACAGCTACTGTTTAAGTCAGACAGATTGATAGTGCCCTGAGAAACGTGAGAGAAGGAAACACTGTGATCCGTGAAGAGCTAAACCTAGAGTGACAATATAATTTATCATCCCAATTGTCGTCATTTCGGAGAATGGGGGAGATGCTAGTAATAGTTATGAGAGGATAACAAACATACACTGGAACTGTCTCTGACAAATCAGAACACACAGGCACCCTAGCTAAACCTTCAAGCAAAAGATAAAGATGAGTAGAGGTCCATGCAAAGCAATTTTTTGTGTCTGTGTGAGGAAGATTGTTGCTGAGCTAACATCTGTGCCAATCTTCCTCTATTTTATGTGGGATGCCGCCACACTGTGGCTTGATGAGCACTGCCAGGTCCACGCCCAGGATCTGAACCTGTGAACCCAAGGCAACTGAAGCAGAGCACACGAACTTAACCACTACACCACTGGGCTGGCCCCAGTGCAAAGCAATATTTAAATGACACCAGCAAGACCTGCAATCCTGGCTGGAGGAGAGCTGACTCATGACTCCAGCTCACTCTGCATTCTATGCCTTCTTACCTGCATGCAGGCAGACTCGTTGATGGAAGGTCTGTGATTTGGATGATGAACTTTCTGCAAGCTGTTACAGGGAATATTTGTGAAGGTTCAGATGGTGAGGGAAACCTGAGGATTAGCTTTGAAGTTTTCATGAAAGGAATCATACCACAACTATAAGTATTCTTTGATATCTGGCTGTGCTAGATATTCCACAATGGTGCTAATCTATGGTTGGCTCAAGAGTCACCTCTGTGGGTGGAGTGGGGGAGTGGGATTCCTTAGTTACCAACGTCTTTGCCTCAATTTTTGTAGTCTTTTTGAGAATAATGTCTGTCTTCTGTGGAACATGTGAGGTCTGTCGTAAGAAGATATTCATTCTCATTGGTGAAAACTGGGAACCTGGAGCAGGTGGGTGAGGAATGAGTGATCACAGATGGCCCGTCATTCAGCTGTGCCTTTGCACAGGGCACCTTTTCAGTTACTAGGTGAATGTGATGGAACATTTTTAGGGAAACGGCTGTGGGGCCCTGGAAGCACCTTGGATTGAGAGAAGAGTTGCTCATATCTCTGCTGCTTCATGCTGGGAAAAGGCAACACAGCTTGGTACAGTAAAAGTTTTGTAGGAGGCAGTCAGGCAGTGGTTGATAAATGGTATTTCCCTGGATGGGAAGCAGGAAAAAGAGGAGGGAAGGTGAGGTGAACACTTTCAGGGCTACTGTGAGGAATAAATGTGATGTACAGGAGAGCACCCAGTATACTCAGTCAGGCTGAATTTAACAACCAAACACACTTTGATCATCATCTAGCACATATATAGAGTTAAAAACAGAACGAAATCAAATATTCTCATTCTTCATGAGGAAGACAACATGTCTTGAATGTTCCAGATACTCACTCCTTGACATACTTCCTCATTTACTCTACATAATAACCTGGGTCTCTCTAACTCCACGATCTAGCACCATCTTCCTTTAAAGTAAAATATAAAAAAGTCTTCCTTGTTATGTTAGGTGACAATCTCTCCTTACCATTGCTGAGAGAATCTGCACTCCCAGGACTGTGCTGCCTGGAGACCAACTCGCTCCCTGTCTTCCTCATCTCTGTGTTTTCGTTATATCGTCTTTTCCAGTAGTTGAGTTCTTCACGATCAGATTCCTGACAGCGCCGCAGAACCGCCATGGAGCGCCTTGTTTTCTCTACCATTTCCATAATACAATTCAGGGCCTGAGCCAAAGGGGAAGTCAGGCAGAGGCAAGATGAGGACATTCAAGCAACCAACATAAAAATCAAGAACAGGTAAACTATAAAGAATGAAATTTTAACTGTTTTATAAGTTTAGCAGGATCAAGTTTACATTTGAAAGCCTTTCTCACTGCTGTTTTTTTTTTTTGTTTTTTTTTTTTGCCAAGGAAGATTAGCCCTGAGCTAACATTTTGCCAATCTTCCTCCAGTTTATATGTGGGTTGTTGCCACAGCATGGCTAATAAAACAGTATAGATCTGCACCTGGGATCTGAACCCGCAAACCTGAGCCGCCAAAGTGAAGTGTGCTGGAATTAACCACTACACCATGGGGCCAGCCTCTCTCACTGCTTCTTTATATATGTATATATATATATGTAGACACACATACACACATTTAATTTTTTTTTTGAATTTCAAAATAACATTTTTTTGGATTCAAGGTTGAAACAGCCAGGGTCTCATTATAATATGGTCCTTTAAAGACTATGGTGTAACCACATTATATATCAGCCCAAAACATACCAAATCATCTGATAAAGCCAGAGATCTATATAAGAATGTAATCAGAAAAATAACATCCAGAGACAATATCACTCAAGAAGGAAAAGCTGCTGTACGTATATTTCAAACAGGTACTACATCTTCTCTTCCCTTTTTAATGAGAAGGGAAACTCTCTTCCACCAGGACAGAGAACTCAGGCTTACATTCTGTACTATTACACTAACTCTCATTTGTATTTGAGGAAGCTCCATTTATTTAACACTTCCTATATACCAGGCCCCGTGACAAGCACCTTAGATATTATTACAACCCTCTTGTGAATTCAAATAATTCAGCATTCTTTTTTTTTTTAAGGTATAAAAATTAAGGCTACAAATGGTGAAGCAATTTGCCCACTGCACAAAGGCAGGAAGTGGCAAAGCTGGGACCTAAACTCACAAACCTATGTTTTAACCATTAAACTACATAACTTCACTTCGTTATGACCTGAAGTGATCACCCCACCATAAAGATTTGAGAGTTATTCTTAGCTCTCTAGCTGGGGGAGTAGTAGATAAATCAGCTTTTATTGCAAAGACATTGTGGCTCTGGTTAAATTCACTTCAATTACTATTCGTAATATTGAGAATTAAAAGTAATAAGTACTTAGGAAAGTTACACACTGTAAGAGTCTTACATGATCAAGATGTTTCCATTCATCAGCCCATTCCCTTTCTGTCAAACGGTGGTCTACCAACTCATCTTGATAGCCTCCATTTAGACCTATTAGAAATTAGAGATTAAATTTCAAGAATACAGTAAACAGAATTCCACCAAGTAAATACACACACATTCATACCAAGTGTCAGCACACTACTAAGGCCGTGATTCAGGATGGAGTGTGGGACCCACAAAATGACATAAAACCAACAAAAAAATCACTATTCAGAATATATAAAAAAACTCCTACAAATCAATTATGAAAGACAAATAGCCCAAAAGAAAAAGAGGCAAAAGAAATAAACAGGTATATCACAGAAAGTACAGATGGTCCATAAACACAGGAAAAGACACTCAAACTCATTAGTCACACAGTGCAAATAAAATCATCATTAAGATAACATTTTACATCTTTACATTGGAAAAAATTAAATTGTCAGATAATACGAAGTGTTGACAAGGATGCAGCACAATGTAAATGCTTAACCACCACAACTAGAGTGGGTACTGTACAAGCACTTGGAAACAACTTAATGTTACCAAAATATTAATTTTTACTTGGTTTTAATATATACTGAAATTTGCAGGAACACAAAGACTGTGTGAATCAAGGGTATATAGAGTTAAGAGTTGTCGACTATTTTGAAGAATGTCACATATTGCTAGACTGCTCACAGAATTTGAATTATTAATATAACACATCTGTTATCACTCTGAATTTATAAGTGTTGTATTCATAGTGATTCTGTATCTATGCAAGCAACTGCTTATTTGATTATATCTTCTATAGTGATGAATGAGCACTAACGTATTATAAAATACTTTCTTATATATTACGCTTTAGAATATTGATCCTAAAATTATATGTCTAAGGTAGGCTACAGTATTCATAAATTTCATTTTAGGAGAATGGGGGTGGGGTGTTACAATATATTTGTTTATAAAGGGGCAGGGGAAAAAATGGTTTGGTAAGAGCTGAGAACCACTGTACTATGGCATATGTTTTCAAAAGAGGACTGGGGAGGGGCCGGTCCCGTGGCCGAGTGGTTAAGTTCGCGCGCTCTGCTGCAGGCAGCCCAGTGTTTCGTCAGTTCGAATCCTGGGCACGGACATGGCACTGCTCATCAAACCACGCTGAGGCGGCGTCCCACATGCCACAACTAGAAGGATCCACAAGTAAGAATATACAACTATGTACCGGGGGGCTTTGGGGAGAAAAAGGGGAAAAAAAATAAAATAAAATCTTAAAAAAAAAAAAAAAAAGAGGACTGGGGAAAATTGAGGAATCTGTAATGAGCCTGGAAGACAAATGGTTAAACCTGAAATAAACAATCAAGGGAGAGGATTAAAGGTCTTTCAAATAGAACATTTCAAGATGAAAAAGTTTTTTTAAAATTGTTAGAAATGCAAGGAAAATCTGACCAAAATGAAGTTATAGCTAGTTTTTAGGATACTTTTCTCTTAGAAAGTAACAGATCGAACTGGCAAAAAATTTGTATGAATATGGAAGAAACCAACAGCAAACCTAGTTTTTAACATAAAAAGAGAGACATAGGAAAAAGGGGATTGGATCATACACAACAGCTGCTAAGGGGGGCGTCATAACATGCTGGCAACGTACCTAAGCCTTGGGCACCGGACAGCTGGGGTCTGAATCTTATCTGTGCTACTTTGTAGCTATGGGATTTTGGCCACAGTTTTTTCATCTGTCATCTACAAAAAGGGCATAACAACTGCATAGGACTGCTATGAAGATTAAGTGAGATAATGTATGTACACCACAATCTATGTGGTACCTAAGATTCAGTAAATGTTGGCAGCTGAGAACACCACTGCTGTCACGGTCCTCACCATTCAGCCGCCACTGCATGAAGCCAGAGCCCTAGTGTGCGGTCCAAGCCCCTGAAAGATGCTAGTGAGCCTAAGTCAGAACAGGGACGGGCAAATGTGTTGCAACATTTCACTCCACAGGGGACCCCACAGATGGAAATAGAGGGGAAACCCTGGAAGCTAGTAGCCAGTTGGTTCTCTGCTCTGACACATGCTCAGCAGTTAAACTCCAAACAACCTCCTGCAGTAAACTTGAGTACATGACAAAGAGCTCTTGTTCAAAACTGATCTCCAGTGAGGTTTGTTAAGGGCCTTTTTGTTTCTTCCTAAATTTAATGGTTACAGAGGTGGCATGTGCCAGGTATTCCAAATGTAAAAATGACCCAGCACAGGTGGTGGTTATCTCCACTTTAGAATTGAGTTATCCGAGGATCAGAGAGCTGAAGCAACTTGCATAAGATCTCACAGCTAGTTAGGATGCAGAGCCAATATTTAAATTTACATATACCTTACCTCTCCTGACCTAAACAATCTATGCACTTTCACCTCCAAGACCATATATTTTAAATCTTTCTTAGTTTTAAAAATGTTTCATTCTGAAATAAATTCAGACTTTCAGAGAGGTTGCAAGAACAGTACAAAGACTTCTCATTTACCCTTCATTCAGATTTCCCAAAGGTCCCCTACAGTACATAGCTGTATATTGTAGCTGTGGGTCCTCCTAGTTGTGCTATGTGGGACGCTGCCTCAGCATGGCTTGATGAGTGGTGCTAGGTCCACGCCCAGGATCTGAACCAGTGAAACCCTGGCCACCGAAGTGGAGTGCACAAACTTAACCACTTGGCCACGGGCCCAGCCCCTATCATTCTCTATCTTTTTTCTGAATCATCTGAGAATAAGTGATACCCTTTTATTCTTAAGTATTTCACTGTGTATTTCCTAAAATTCGTTTAATTCTACTTCTATCATATGATAAGAAGAAGATATGAAGTAAGATCAATTCTAATAGTCTTTTTAATGTATAATATTGTTTTATCTTATCAGCGGAAAAAGGCAATAATGACGTTATTTTGCTTTATCACTGAGTAGAAAAGAAACTCAAGGATTCAATCTGAATTTAAATCATTACCATGCTGCTTACGTCACTTACTAAGATTGTGGTGTCTGTCACGAACTTCTCGATGTTCCAGCATCTTGGGTTCACGATACAGGTGGGAAGTTGCAATATCTTCTAAGGTGTAGTGCTGAAGAGGCGGAGGAGTAGGATGAAACTGGCCCCCAGGATTCATGAGGGGCACAGTGAGGGCAGGACTGTGCCGGGGAGCAGGGCTGATGGTACACACTCTCTTGGCAGGAGGCTCAGGAGCAATTGTCTCTCTTTCAAACCCGCTCTCTTCCCTCCTGTAAAAGAACCAGAAGTACATATCTGAGCCCGTCAACAGGCATTCACACAAACATTTCCTGAGTACCTACTTTGTGCTATGCACTCTCACAAACAAGAAAACAGCAAGAAATGGTTTGACATGAGGCATAAACGGAAATGTCCCTCAGGGACCAGGCAGATAACGGTTCCTGCTGATTTATTCCAGTATTCAGAGGTCAAATCCATGCATATCCAGGCAGAAACCCCTCAACCTCACAAAGCAAAGGAGAAACTAAGGAGATGACAGCATTTTCCTATATGAGAGGAATATGAGTTCAACTATGTTTGGGAATGTTTTGAGATCAAATTTGCTACTGTGGAGGGAGGTCAGTTACTAGAAAGAAACAATTCTCTACGTGGGAGAAAAGTCTCACATAATTAATACACTTGTCAGTTGGTAGGGTTTTTAATCATTTAGGTTCAACTGTAACAAACTTCCTACTGTTGTTAAATTATTGCTTCCTTGACAAAACATAGAACATTGTGGTAGACACTCATACTAAAATTTCCAGAATAAATTAATATAATTTCAATCTTCAAAGTAAAGGTGATTCATTAACAAGTACCAATAATTAATTGTTACACTTTTACAAGACTTCACACATTAGAAAAAATGCCTTGGGAAGATTGTATTTCTTACGGCTCTGGAACAGTGAACCCACAGGATGCTCTGGAGCAGAATTTCTCACCAAGGGTATACAGAATCATCTGAAGAGTTTTTGAAAAATACTCATGTCTGGGAGCTACACCTATAGATTTGAGAAGCATTCTGCTGCCTGATGTTGGGACAAAGCAAAACGAATCTTAGAAATTCTGAGTCCATACCGATACACAACCACCATAATCAAATTCTCCTTCTTTCACAAGCAAAGAACAAGCTCAGAGTGGTTCCAGAAAAGCAAGAACAACGAAGCTCTTCTCTGCTCACCTCTCTGGACTGGGCCTTTTCCCATTTCCATGCACTTCCATGAGCAGCTCAGAAGAGTCTGCAGGCGACGCAATACTGGTGTTGAGCAGAAGGTGCTCATGCTGAGCCAGGTACTGGGATGGCGTCTGCTTAGCAGCCCGAGCGCAGTGCAGCAGTTCTCGCTGCAGCAGTGGCAGGTTAGCCTTGAAAAGAAGAAGCAGGGGCTGGAAGGTACTTTTTCCAGTGTTGGGCTCTACACAACAGGGCTCGCCACCTCAAAAGGTTTCACAAACCAGATGACACAAGACAAAAGCCCTTTTCTCCCTGTCAGTCTGATTTTCAAACGCCTCTCTATGAATAAAGTGACATCTATTATACTGAACTTGAGTTATTGGTTGACTTGTCTCTTGCCCCTACAAGATGTAAATCCCCTTCGGGAAGAGACTGCATTTTATTTACCTTTGTGGCCTAGTAGAGAGTCAAAGCTCACTGTAGGTTTGTTGAACATAATAATTTAGAAACTTAAAACATTTTTGAAGACTTCAGTCAGAGAATTAGTACTGCCTACATGGGAGTAGGAGGAATTCATTCTTTCCTCTATCATTACAAGCCCTGGTTTCTGTCTTCTGAATCCCAACTTGTCTCTCATAGCTTCCCTTCATGTGATCTATGAGAGCTGCCAGGGAATTCTGGAAACAGTGATTATTCCGGCTTGGTTGGAACATGGTGTTTTGAAAAAAGTATTGGGAATGATGATAATGAAAGCAACAAGCCTTAGACTAGGCTCTGAGGATTCACAGGTAACACAAGGACATGCTCTATTTCTGTAGTGTGGCACCCTAGTTGGGCACATTTCCTTATTCTGTAAAAGGACAGTTAATTATCTACTGATTATTTTTCCTTCTCCTCAAACTTAGAAAAACTCTAAAGGTGATAAATCATATAAAAAATGCTATCCATCTTTAAACTTAACTATAGTTCCTTCACACATAAAATGTACTTTTCCCATATTCCCTTTTATTAAAAAAAAGTAAGAATTATATTTTTCTCCCAAAATTTAAAAATAATTCAGCCTGAGCCCATAATAGAAGTCTTTATCCCACAGGAAACAGATGAGCAAGTGAAAGGAGAGTTTTAAAGTAGTCATCCCTTTACCAAAGGTTAATTTAGCAGGCACCATAATTAGAGATCATTTTAAAGCAGAAATAAATTGACAAAAACCCAAATGCTAGCCAAAATGCTGCTATAACAACCTACCTCAAGCTGTTTTCCAAAGTAACAGAGTTAAGAATAGAGAATTTGACCACATAAAACAATTTTTAAGTCTGTTCTATAACCTCAATCTTGTAGCAACTGTAAAAACTTAATTGAAAAAAATACCATGTCAGATCTTTACACACCTGTGCCATGTGTCCTTTGATGAATTAAAAAGAAAAAAGCTAATTATTTCCTATTAACACAAATTTCACAATTTTTCTTGATTTCAAAATCTGAGGGGAAATAATTGTCTACTGGCTCTGACATACAGAAGAGAGACCAAGACAGAACTAGCACAGCTGGTTCGGGGCTGAAAAAAGCACTACAGACTGCTCTGAGAGGCTGAGACTTCAGTGCTATCAGAACTGAGCCACAACACAGGCAGTATACCTGAGACCTATGCACTTCCTTGTATGTCTGTTATGCTCTAATTTTTTTTTTTTTCCTGAGGAAGATTCACCCTGAGCTAACATCTGTGCCAATCTTCCCTTATTCTGTATGTGGACTGCCACCACAGCATGGCTGCTGACAACTGGTGTAGGTCTGATCCTGGGAACTGAACCAGGCCACCAAAGCAAAGCATGCTGAACTTAACCACTAGGCTACAGGGCTGGACCCTATCTCTAATTTTTAAAGTTATAAAAACCTGGTATCAGTACTTCAGTAAGATGACTCATCTTTTTGACGTTACTCTATTTTCTTAGGAAATGAAGGTAAAGTACAAGAAGGTAAAGGGGCATTCTTACTTGGCTAGATATTTGACGATTTGTGAGTCAAGAGGCAAAATTGAAGATACTACGTAGGTACTCATACACAAGAGAGAAGAAAATTAATTTCCACAAATACTCTACTGACAAAAGTTAAATTACAAACACACATGAGGTACAGTTTTCTTGTGCTATCATTCTACTACTAATGAAAAGAATAGTATTCATTTGGGGAGAGGTGATGGATTAAGGATAATATTTAGCTTAACTGGAGTTCAAAGTTACTGTTCCCTATTATCAAATCAACTATAAATGTTCATCTGTAAAAACCATTCCCGGGCTGTACAAAACCATGTAGTGGGCTGGATTTGGGTCTCAGGTTTCCAAATAATGCCTGGTCTAAAGCACACCGCTATTTGACTCTAGTCTTTCACTGCCTTTGAACTATTTTACAACTCTACAAGTTACAGATAACTGATGGCAATGCAAAATAATTGTTGTCTATGGACATGCATAAACTTATGTCCAGTAGAGCTTTAACCGACTTCCGTTGCCCGCTCTAGAAGCCAATTTTACTTCTGTTTGCACACTCATCAATAATCCTGATCTACAAATGTGTCTGTTCTGTGGATTCTCACCTGAACTAGTTATAACACATTACTGATTCCCTCAGCAATAATGAGTTAAATAAAATCTTTGATGTGAGTTTGTTTTTTATCTGTATGAGTCATAATTTCACCTGTTTTTGAAAATTACAGTTTAAAAGGAAAAGACAGAAACTTTACAGTGGAAAAGCATGGCGGACACTGCCTTTACCAAGTGATCAAAGTCAACATCACCGATTCTGAGACAAGTTAACATCTCTGTCTCCTGAGGGCATGCAGTGATACCACTTACTAGCTAGTCCTGCCTAAAATGCGTAACACACACACTCTCCACCCTCTGTCTACAACCAAAAGATTTAGTGTCCAGTTACTTCCTCTACTAAGAGCCCAGCCTCCACGCCACCCACACCTCTGGCCCACTCACCTCCAGCTACCCCTGCTCCTAACTTGCTCCTTCTATGTGTTACCAGCAGCATCTGCATACAGACCACAACTCAAGACTTTTGCAATTCTCATCTTATCAAGTACATGGCTTATCTGCAGACTGCCCTCACATTTCTCTAGCAGCCCAAAATAAAATAAAGATAGGAAAATGTGACAAGATGCCCTGATTTAAATCACAGAACAGGGATCAGCAGCAGATCTTGAGGAAATGTTGAAGCTAAATTATATTCAGTAATTATCTCATAAAATTTACCTTGAGGAATGGAATCACAAAAGGACGAAGAGGAAAGTTTGTAGCCTCTTGGAGCTTGCAATGGAATTCTTCAATTGTTACTGTTGAGTTCTGAAAAGATAAACAACATTGTTCAACTTCTAAAACCGGACAGTGTCCTCTGAATATAAATCTGATAGTATTGAATCTTTTAAAATCATAAGTAAAAAGATAATTCCAAGAGCACTACTGTGAAAGATCCCTTTCAAAGGTTAACTGAATTCTGTTATTTATGAAAGAAATTCACCTCCTTGATTTTCTTTCCTCTACTACCCCAAATCTAAATTCTCCTCTATGCTCAGCAGCCCGGGCTGTAGAACAGGGCACTGCCTTCCTCACTGCCTGTGAAGACAAGCAACTCAGGTCTCTTGTATTGAAGGATGCATCACAAGTTGCCTCAGGAACAGGAAACCAAGCTTAAGATGTTCCCTGAACAGATCCTGAATCAGTCCAGGACATCAACTTAAAGACTCAATAACGTAGAGCCTCATTTCTTTAGAAGTTCATTTCTTCATAGCTTCTGCCTACCTCCTAGCATCAGTTCCCCAAATCTTCTAAATCAGAAGTTAAAAAACCAAACCAAACCAAAACAAAACCCAATAGGTGCCCTCTACCTTCAAGTGGTCTATTTGCATATCAGAGCACCTCCAAATAAGCAGACTCTCACTGGTAAGATTTTAGTATTCCTAGCAAAGTTATTAGCACTTCGCCTGTACTTTTTCAAGTCTGGCTTTAAACTAAGATTCTCAGCTCCTTTGTTAAAGGAGAATGGTACAGAAAAATATTTTTTTCAAAGTTCACAAAATATTTTCAATTCCCTAAAACACAGCATAATAATGACTTAAAAAAACAAAACAAGGGGCTGGCTCCCAGGCCGAGTGGTCAAGTTCACACGCTCTGCTCTGGGGGCCCAGGGTTTCGCTGGTTCGAATCCTGAGCGTGGACATGGCACCACTCATCAGGCCATGCTGAGGCGGCATCCCACATGCCACAACTAGAAGGACCCACAACTAAAAATACACGACTATGTACTGGGGGGCTTTGAGGAGAAAAAGGAAAAATAAAATCTTTAAAAAAAAAAAAAAAAACAACGAAACTGGGCATTAATCTGAATTCTTGCTCCCCTGAAAGAACAATACCATTTCTAGGAATTTACTTTTATAATCATCAAGTGTTCAAAGTTGTAACAAGTATCATACAAATTATTCATCAGCACAATATTGCTTCTTAACAATAAGAAATGAAGAACACATAGGTCCACCAACAGGAAACTGCAATAAAAATTACGATACAGTCATAAATCAGAACACTTGGGGGGGTACAGATTTGTATGAATTAATGAAGAAAGGTGTCTATAATATACTGTTAAGTGAAAAACCAGAAACAAAATAGTATGTTTTCCAATAATCCATTTATGAAAATAACACACACATATTTATATAGTATTTTAAATGTCTGGAAGGACAATTCACCAGCAGTTATTTCAGGATGTGAAATTATGTTGAATTTCTCAAATATATCATATTACTATTCAGTAAAAATTAAAATGTTTCCCTTTAGGAAAAAAGGGTATATATCTTAACCATGTTAAGTGAAAATGTTTGAAAAGTTTATCTCATTTCATTCTTTTAAACTTTAACTGAATACTTGTTTTAAGTACATGACAGTTGTACAATGCAACCAAAGGGACTGGTAATCATGAATACACAGTAAATGTAAAAATGTAAAAAGTACGACATTCTTTCCCTGCTACAATGAATGTTATCAGGCCTCACAAAATAAACACAAGCAGAGTAAATCTATGGAAACATTATATGACTTTTAAGTTTTCTTGTGGATGGACAAAGGAGGGAAAGGATAGACTGAGTGGCACAGACAAATAGGCCAGAGAAACTGACTTAGGGCTATATACACTGTAGATGCAGAGCAGTCCTCTGAGAGGGATGATAAGCTGCTGTTCTGTTATCCTTCCCTCTCATTCAATTATTTAATAAATAAGAGCATAGTTCTTTTCCTAAGAATTCATAGTCCAGTGGGAAAACAGACAAGTAAGCTATTCATTACAGTATGACTGAGGTACACGTGGGCAGGACCTTACAGCAGGCAGAGAAGACATGTTTGAATCAGACTTAGGAAGACAAGGAAGGCTGTAGAGAAGTGCCACCCGGAGAAGTAAAAGTGCAGCCTTGGGGAAGATGCTTCTGACAAAGAATAACGTGAAAAGGCAAAATGGTAGGGGCTCTGGTCTCTGGATCACAAGGGCATCACCTATAGTCGTCTTAGAAGACAACGGATATAGATAGGCTATGAGACTAAAATTATTCTTTTAAAATTTTCAGATTATTATAATCATAAGAAGTTGTAAAAATAGTACAGACAGGTTCCCATGTATCCTGCACCCAGGTTCCCCCGATGGCTACATTTTATATAACTTTAGTGCAATACCAAAACTAGGGAACTAACACTGGTAAAACGTGTATATAGTTCTATGCCATTTTATGGCATGTGTATATACAGGTCATCATCAATGTAATCAAGATACAGAAGTCTTATCCACGCCAGTTTATAATTTTCCTAAATATTTCCTTGATAGATACTGACATCCATATCAGACAATGTTATATTTTTGCTTCAACCACCAAACATAATTTAGAAAACTCAAGAGGAGAAGGAAAGTCTACTGTATTTACTTATAATTTTACTCTTTCCATTTTTCTTTCACCTATTCTGATATCTTAAGATTCCTTCCTTCATCATTTTTTTCCATTTCAGGAACTTCCTTTAGCCATTCTTTTAGGGTAGGTCTGCCTTAGACAAATCCTCTGAGTTTAAGTTCACCTGAGAATATTTTGATCCCTCCACCTTTCACTCCATAAGGATATTGTCGATAGATAAAAGATTCTATGTTGATAGTTCTTTTCTTTCAGCACTTAGCCTCTGTGGTTCCTGACGAGAAATCCACTGTCCCTGGAATTTTTCCCTTGTAGGTAAGATGTTTCTCGCTGCATTCAAGATTTTCTGTCATTTTTGCGAGGGGATTGAGGAGGGTGCGGTATTTTGGAGGCCTGCTCAGCTTTTTTGAATCTGTAGGTTTAGGATATTTGTCAAATTGAGGAATATTTCAGCCATTATTTCAGCTCTTTCTCTTCTCCTACTGTGACTCAGATCTTTTATTATATTCCTTCAAGTCCCTGAGGTTCTGTTCATTTTTTTAAAGTTATTTTATCTCTGTTGTTCAAATTAGGTAGTTTTTTCTATTGTTCTAGCTTCAAGTTCACCGATCTTTTCCTCTGTCCTCTCCATTCTACCTTTGAGTCCATCAGTGTGTTTTTAATTTTGTTATATTTTTCACTTCCAAAATTTCTATTTAGTTCTTCTTTATATCTTCTATTTCTTTGAGGAGCTTTTGTATTTCTTCATTTGTGTTGATAATTGTTCACTGAAGCATTTTTTGTGACGGCTGCTTTAAAATCCTTGTTAGATAATTTCAACATCTGTGTCAGTTTAGCTGATGTCTGTTGGTTATCTTTTCTCATTCCTGTTGAGGTGGTCCTGGCTCTTGATATGACAAGTGATCTTCTACTGTATCCTGGACATTTAGGGTTCTGTGTTGCAAGACTCTAGATCTTATCTCTGTTTTCTATTTTGAAGGCCTCCTCCGACACTGTGCCATTGGGAAAAGAAGAATCCTTGATGCTGTCAGAATCCTTGATCCTAGGTTCCCCCACCCAACCTCTGTTGATCTGGAGAGGCGAGGAAGGAGGGGCTCATTACTGTTCGGAAGTGGTGTAAGTTTGGTTTCTCCACTGGGCCTTTGACCAGAAAGGGAAGAGTGCCCATTACTGCAGTTTTTTCCGAGGTGTTTGGCTGCAACAGGGTGGTTATTGTCTAAAAGTTTTCTATCTTGTTTGTTTCCTCCTTTCCCAGGCCTTTGGCTAGAAAGAGGCTTTTTTTTTTTGGTTTGTACTCCTGTTTCTAGATTAATAGCTTCTCCAGACCACAATCTAGGATATATGATGAAAACAAAACCTAGGGAATTCACTGCTCTGTACTTCCTTGGGTCCCAGGGTGACTGGCCAATCTGACTTCTTCTCTTCGTCTTTTAGAGTCTTATTTTTATTTTATATATAACGTTCAAGGTTATTTTCTCTATTTCTCAGGAGGAATAGGAATAGGAAGAGGCACACCTTTCTGTTGCACCTCTGAACCAGACTTGATAGTTAATGACTACATCATATCCCCTTAAACTGATGTATCGAAACTTACTCAAGCTTCTATAGGACATTCAACAGGTTTCAATTTTTTTTGGCACTATAAATAATATTGAACTGATTATCCTGGTGCACATTGTTTATTATTTTCTTAGGATGAATTTCAAGGAGAGAAACTGGTGAGTCAAAGGAACGGCCTAGTTTGTGGTACCTGAAACACTGCCAAACTACCCTCCAGAATATGTATTCTCCAAATAAGTGGGTGGAGTACAGAACATTTCCCTTTACCTTGCGGTGGAAATCAGCCAGGCCTGCTCCCTGGCATAGTTAGAGACTACCAGTACTTTACCTCTGATACACCAGAAACACAGAATGCACATAGGGAAACTAAACTCCAGCTACCTAACCATGCAGCCCTTTCTGAGTTGGCTAACAATGTCTCCTCCATATGGAACGACTGTTCCACTTACATATGCCCACCAAAATCTTAACCATTCTTTTCATAAATAGAAGACTAAATAAGGCTTTCTTGAAAGAGAAGTATAACAATCTAAAGATGTTCATTCTCCTCCAAATTAGACAAAGTTTTCAACAAAATGGTAGCAAACCCAAAGAAAAAGAAAAAAGAACAGAATGGTAGGTTCAACTGCAACACACATAAGACAATCGTTTTATCTATGAATAAGGGCAGTTTTATTTCTGTCTTTCCAATCTTTATATCTTTTTTTTTTTTTTTTTTTTTTGCTGAGGAAGATTCAGCCTGAGCTAACATCTGTTGCCAATCCTCCTATTTTTGCTTAAAGAAGATTTGCTCTGAGCTAGCATCTGTGCCAGTTCTCTTCTATTTTGTATATGGGTCACCAACACAGGATGGCTGCCAATGAGTAGTATAGGTCCACGCCTGGGAACCAAACCTGGGCCACTGAAGCAGAGCGTGCTGAACTTAACAACTAGGCCACAGGGCTGGTCCCCCCTTATATCTTATTTGCTATGCTAGAATATTCCGGGTTACATTGAATAAAGAAACATCTTTATATGATTCCTAATATCAGAGGGAAAGCTTTCAAAATTTCAGCATTAAGCATGAGGCTTGCTATAGCTTTTATTTTTACATGGATTTAACTGTCATCAGATTAAGGAAGTTCCTACTATAACTAGTTTGCTAAGTGTTTTTTTTAAATAATGAATGGGTATTAAATTTAACATATTTTTTCTGCATCTTTTCCAAATATATTTACAGTTTCAACACCAACTGCTAGAGATTGAATGTAATCGTTCAAAATTCATATGTTGAAACCTAATCCCAATGCGTTGGTATTTGGAGGTGGGGGTCTTTGAGAGGTGATTAGGTCCTGAGGGCAGAGCCCTTATGAGTGGTGTTAGTGTCCTCATGAGAAATGAGACCCCAGAGAGCTCCCTTGCCCCTTTCACCCTGTGAGGACACAATAAGAAGCTGGCCATCTATGAATCAGGGAGTGGGCTCTCACCACACAATGAACCTGCCAGCACCTTGATCTTGGACTTATCAGCCTCCAGAACTGCAAGATCAATGATTGTTGTTTATAAGCCACCCAGTCTATGGTATTCTGTTATAAGAGCCTGAATGGACTGAGATACTGATCTTAATGAAAATCCCAGGATGTGAGAGTATAAACTGGTATAACACTTGGGAAATGGTCTTATATACTAAATTTGTATGTATGCAAACCCTATGAAATCCCAATTCCATTTTTTGGTGCAATGCTTGCACAAATGTATCATGTATGAGAATGCTCACAGCAACATTATCTGTAATGGGGCCTGTACAGAAAAGAGTTAACATAGCAGGTCTAAAACTGGTAACCTTAGAAAAGCCTGCTTGCAAGGCTGGACCATTGGCTTGCATCTAGGAACTTGGCTGATAAACAGTTTCCTACACTGATATAAAACTTTCCCTAACCAAAAAGGTGGAAACACCTCAAGTGTCCATCAATGGATGAATGGATAAACAAAATGCGGATGAATAGATAAGCAAAATATTATTCAGTTATAAAAATGTAGAAAATTCTGACACATGCCACAACATGGATGAACCTTGACTACAGTATGCTAAGTGAAATATGCCAGCCACAAAAGGACAAATACCAGGGGCCAGCCTTGTGGCTGAGTGGTTAAGTTCGTGTGCTCTGCTGCTGCGGCCCAGGGTTTCCCTGGTTCAGAACCTGGGTGCGGACATGGCACCACTCATCAGGCCATGCTGAGGCGGCATCCCATGTGCCACAACTAGAAGGACCCACAACTAAAATATACAACTATGTACTGGGGGGATTTGGGGAGAAAAAGCAGGAAGAAAAAATAAAGAAATAAAGAGCTCAGAAATCTGACAGTGAATTAAAAGAAAAAAAAAAAAAGACAAATACGGTATGATTCCACTTATATGAGATACCTAAAATAGTCAAGTAGAAAAAAGGTTGACAGGAGCTGAGGGGAGAAAGGAGTGGGGAATTACTGTTAATGGCACAGAGTTTCAGTTTTGCAAGATGAAGAGAGTTCTGGAGGTGGACAGTGGTGATGGTTGTTGCACAACAATGAATGTACTTAATACCATTAAATGCACACTTAAAAATGGTTAGTAGGGTAAATTTTATGTTCTGTGTATTTTATCACCTCCTAATGATAGCAAAGTAAAAACAATTGCAAGAAAGGAAAAGTTAACCCAAGCATGGCTATTTAAAAGAGACGATCAGCTACATCTACACACACTTTCATAGCTAGAAAAAGATTTTTTTTTTACTTTGCCAACAAGGTCTGTCATTTTTTCTTTTACTCTTGAAATTATCCTTAAGCACAGACTCTACTTAAGTAATTTGCTGATGGAATTAGCATAACATTCTGATGTTTGCTTTGCTGCCAATTATGTTCAAACTCATTTTGAGATTTAATGTCAATTTTATTAGCCTAGATCCAATAAGACTTTTCGATAGTGTAAAATATGAACAATAAATACTTTTTTCCAAAACGAAAACAAAAAATCTTTTTCTAACTGATGAGTGTGGCTCACTGTGCCTAGACTGCTTCTGCAAACAACATGGTTTATGCTAAACACTGGTTTTCCTTCTGGGAGTCTGGAATTTTGGTAGGTGCTAGGCAAAGAGTGCCTATGTGCCCAGACCCCAGCAAAAACCTTGGACATTGAGTCTCTAATAGGCTTCCCTGGGCAGAAACGCTGCATGCATGTTGCTGCATTTTCATTGCTAGGGGAAGAGTGAGCTCTGTGTGAGGATTCATAGGACAGAAAGAGCCTAAGGAAGCCCGCACATGGATTCCTCCAGACTCCAACTGTCTCTCTCTCTCCTTTATGATCCAGTCGTGTAACCTTATTATGCCTCTGTAATAAATCTTAGTTGTGAGCACAACTATATCCCAAGTCCTGTGAATTCTTCTAGCAAATCTCAAAATGCGGTGTTGAGCCGCCGACTCTGCCTCAAAATGCAAACAACTCAAATGTCCATCAGGAGCAAAAAGTATAAATTGTGGTATATACCTACAATAAAATACTACATAGCAATGAAAATGAACAACCTACAGCTATACAAAAGAAGGACTGAATCTCAAATGATGAAGTAGTTTATTGCACATTGCCTTATACAAAAGTTGTTTATGCCATACCAGACTGAAAAATCTTTTAAGGTAGCAGTTCTTAAACTTTTTAGTTTCAGAATTCTTCAAATTTATGTGGGTTACACCTATCGATAATCACCATATCAGAAATTAAAACTGAGAATTTGAAAAATATTTATTATTAATCCCTTCCAAAGTAATTTCATGTTCCCAAAAAATGTAGTAAGAGGAATGGCACTTTTGTTACAGTTTGGCAAATCTCTTTCATGTCTAGTTTAATAAAAGACAGGTGGGTTCTCCTATCAGTTTCTACAGTTAATCTCTTGTGACATCCTATATTATGCCACCTCTAGAAAATTCCACCATACACTCATGAGAGAACAAGAGTGAAAAGGTAAGTAACATCTTAGTATTATTATGAAAATACTTTTGACCTCCTAGACTTCCTGAAAGGGTCTAGGGGAATCCCAGGGGTCCCTGATTACACCTTGAGAACTGCAACATTAGGTTTAGAACTGTGATTCATCTTTATCTCATATCGCAGCTAACATGCAGGAGTGTAGGGTGCTTAGATGGGAGGTAAATTTTGAAAAATTCAATTTACAAACATTGGGAACTGGCAGTATTTCCCTTATATACACCGAGAGTCAAACCCCACCCAGATCTCAATGTGAGAAAATCACTCCCTTATACCATGGGTTCACCACACTCAGTATAGAAGGAAAAATTATGTGTACCTTGAAAATTCTAAAGAAACTGTATTTGCATAAGGAGCTGAAGAATGTAATCCCTTTGATACTATTTACTTAGACTATGAAACTTATAATTTTACAAATTATTATTTTGGAAATTAAACTTGCTGCTTTGCTTTTCTCTCTGGTTTGGAAACAAAGCACAAGGCACTGAATATAATAAGTTAACAAAACCTCGCGTTAACTTGGTTGAACCTCAGTGGCCTGTTGAAACTCAATTTTAAGACAAATTCAAAGCTGCTTATTGGAATTAAATCACACCACGAGAAACAATAAGGTAAACTTTATAGATTTGTTTCTTTGATAAACATTGTCATCCACAATTGAAATCCACAATTCAACAGTTTTATACAAGTTACATAACTTATCTAGTCTGTAGATTTTGCCACGTTGCTACAGGTTTAGGAATGAGCAGAAATACGTACAACTTCTCTGCTCCTGGCTTTGGTTCTAAGCCACACACTCAGGCAGTTGTCAACAGTGATGCTGTACTTACCACCAGTGCTAGAACAAGAGTCCGCACCTTCTCCCCAATCTCAGGTGAGATGTCATTGCCAAACTGTTGAAGAGTGGTGAGGAAGCGTTTTAACTTGCTGAGCTGCCGAGCACCACAAGTGGCTGGCAATTGTTGATTTGTTAGTGCAGATGACGTGGAAGAGGCAGGACCATTGCTGAATCTCTGTGGTGGTGATGGGGCACCATTCAGGGTAGGAGGAGAATGGTTGATGCCATTGCTTACTAAAAGAAAGCCAAAAGGAAAGACTCAGTCTAAGTGCAAAACACAAGGATCTTTGTTAATTTCTTCTGGTTTGCATTCTCCTTCATTTATTCGTTTGAATTTTGCAAAGCACATGTTAAAAGAATATACAAGACACTGTTTATGCCCTCCATGAGACTGCTATATAGTGAGACATACTGTCAGATAAAAAATGACAAGAGAATAACATAGAGTGTTAAAAAGGAAGAGTACAGAGTACTATAAGAGCAAAGAGAAGGGACATCTAACTCTGCATGTGCCATGGGCAGGGGTAGGTCGTTTTAAGACTTCCTGCAACAGGTTCTGCATGAGATGAGCCTGGGAGAATATGTATTTCCAATGACTGGACATTCATACCCATCTTTTATGTCACATCTCCTTCCCAATTTTAGGGTCCCAGAGAAGTTAAGCAGTCAATTAGAATGTAGCATGTGAACAAGACAACCAGAAAACAGAAAGTTACATTAACGTGAGAAATAGTTTATCTAGGCTATAAGTTTAATGACCTATTCCTACAATAAGGGATTATGTCTAGTCAATTTCTCTCTGCCTTGACCGTGCTACATTAATACCCACAAATTCTTGGTCATTCAATAAAGCATTTTTTTAGACACCATACAGGATACTCTCATTCTAGATTTCTGCTCAAATTATAATACATGTGATTAATTACAGTTTTCCTATTTTCCCATTGTTCTTAGTGGTTTCTTGCTAGTTTTAATTTGGAATACAACTCTAGAGCTAAGTTCTTGGCGGCATTAAGAAAAAATCTCCATCTTCACTGAACAGTGAAACAAAATTACCTAGTGCTTAAGTGTCAACAGATTTTTCACTTAATCATACCCAGGCTTGAAAATCTAAGAAGGTAAAACTGTTGCCCAAAAACATAAGAAACAATTTTAGTCAAGACTTAAGCCAACTTTAAACAGCTCAATCATTTAATCTTTACCTAATTTAGAAAAACAACATTTACTTATATTTTGCTTAATGCCAACTCATTAATCATGAAAAATCCTCCACTTCCCTTCTTCTGCCTCCAAGTCAGTCACAGTTGGTTGACTATTACTGCTCCTACTTCTTGACTGACCCTTATTCCAATTTGTTCTGGCAAATTCTTCTTCATCCTGTTTAGCTCAGATGTTACCTGAAGCATGTATCACCTAAAGCATATCAAGAAGCATCCTTTGAAAGACTCTGCTGCTCCACGTTAAGGTAAACCCTAGTAGATTTATTAACTCTCTCTGTGCTGCCTACAGATGCTTCCATTATGTTACTTTACGTGTAACATAAAGTATGTTACATTTGTTCCATATGTATGTAATATTATGTTCCCCTGTTATTTACCAAATTTCTTTACCTTTATTTATTTATCCACTATGTTATTTACCTTATTTCTTTCTGTATTTGCACTGCCTTATTAGATTATGCACTCCTTGATGAACACTAACTTACAACTGTGTATACTGTATATACCTTGGCTTTGTTCATTAGCTAGCAAAGTGTAAGTGCTCAGAAAATGTTGCCGAATGATTCACTGCATAAAAGACGAACGGGCTGAGCAAAACAGGGTGAATCCTCTTCTGTGTCTTTCATTAAAAAGAGCTCACTGGAGGGGGCAGCCCTGTGGCTGAGTGGTTAAGTTTGTGCACTTTGCTTTGCCTGTTTGGATACTGGGCACGGACATGGCACCACTCATCAGGCCATGCTGAGGCGGCATCCCACACGCCACAACTAGAAAGACCTACAACTAAAATATACAACTATGCACCGGGGGGATTTGGGAAGAAAAAGCAAAAAAAGAAAAAAAAAAAGAAGAAGAAGAAGAAGAAGTGGATTGGCAACAGTTGTTAACTCAGGTGCCAACCTTTAAAAAAAAAAAAGAAGAGAGATCACTGGAGCTACTGGAAAGGAAAGCTCAATACTCAATGTCAGCAATCCAGAAAATTAGTTGCAATGGTCTGCCATTTCCTTGTGTCCACAGAAAGGCCAATTGCCATTGGAAAGCTGGCCTCTTTTAAAGCTACCCATAAAAATACGCTTTTAGCCTCCCTGAGCTCACACAAGCTTTTTTAGTCTCCTTAGTGAAAGTGCATTATCACCTTTTCTGCAATAAAACATATCTACCCCCAGTAGTCAAGTATGGAAGTAAAAAGGGCTAAATTTATATACACATATCCTTATTGTCTGTATCTTGAAATCTGAATGATAGCCTGGGTTTAAATCTGTTTCATTTCAAGATAGTACCTACATCTAAGGAGATATAACTTTGGGAGAAGGAAAATAGAATTTAAGAGACAGGATATCTAACTTCATTTCATTCACTGTGGCTCAGACTGCTGCAGTTGCCACTCACTTAATTACAAATGTTTTGGGAAAACAAATCTTCTATTAAAGCGTACCTCTTAGACTCTCTTCTCTTGCCTTTTAAAATAATAAACACACAAAACATAAATGTTAGCAAAGATAGTATGTAAGCTTGTGAAATGGTGTTTAAACATGGAAATGCAAACAGCACCTAAGACAGTGCTCTGACATGTTGCGACTCCATAAATATCAAGTGTCTTCTGTTTTATGAGGCAAAATATCTATACAAGACTCAATGTGAACTGAAGGTAGCTTGGGCATGGAGAGGCAGAAGAACTCAAATTAAAATCTAGACATATGGGACCAGTCTGGTGGTTGAGTGGTTAAGTTCATGTGCCCTGCTTTGGTGGCACAGGGTTTCACAGATTTGGATCCTGGGCGTGGACATGGTACCGCTCAACAGGCCATGCTGAGGCGGTGTCCCACATGCCACAACTAGAAGGACCCGCAACTAAAATATACAACTATGTACCAGGGGGTTTTGGGGAGAAAAAGGAAAAATAAAATCTTAAAAAAAAAAAATCTAGACATATATACGTATGTATGTAAGTCTAGACCTTAAATTGAGGTTTTTTTTAGTATGGACATAGGACTGAAATTGCTGGGTTATAGGGTAATAGACACTGCCAAACAATTTTGTCATACTCAAACGACATACAAGCATTCAGGTTGCTCCACACACACTTACCAAAACTTGGTATTCTTTCTCATTTTGAACATTCTTGTGGATGTATATGGTATTATATTCAGTTTTAGTTTGCATTTCCTTGATGAGTAGTAAAGTAGACCACCTTATAATATATTTATTGGCTAATATAATTCTTATGGACCAAACTGTGAACGCCACGAATTTCTATGTTGAAGCTCTAACCCCCTACTCCACCCTCTGCCTCAGTGCCTCAGAATGTGACTATCTGGAGATAGGGCATTTAAAGGTTAAATGAGGTCTTATGTGTGGTCCCTACTCCAATATGACTATTGTCCTTATAAGAAGAGGAAGGGACAACAGGGATGAGTGTGCACAGAGGCAAAGACCTGGGAGGATACAGCAAGAAGGCAGACATCTGCAAGCCAAGGAGAGAGGCCTCAGAAGAAACCAAACCTGCTGACCCCTTGATCTTGGACTTCTAGCCTCCAGAACTGTGAAAAAATAAACTTCTGTTGTTTAAGCTATCCAGTCTGTGGTATTTTGTTATGGCAGCCCTAGCAAACTAATACAATAATTATTCTCTTTTGTAAAGAGCCTTACCATGACAGTCCTGGAATACTTTTAGAAGTACTTTCACAATTTTATTAAACTACTTTGATCCCTATGAATTAATATAATAATTTAAATTCATTATTTTAGAGACAAAGAAATTAAAAGTTACTTATCAGCCAAAGAGTATGAAAACAAAATATTTAGACCACTAAATTTCCAAATGCCTAAATTAGCTAAGTACTATTCTCAGAAAGCAAAAGCAATTTATAAAAGTAAGAAATCACCAGTATACATACACACACACATATACATATATATGTATGTGTGTACATATGTTGAAAATGTTGACTAATATATGCAGAAGGCTTAATGGCAGTCAGTCACTTAAATCCAAATATCACTCTGAACCACAAATTCAAGTAATTAAGAGGTCTCACATGCTGTAGGAGTAAACGACACTGGCCTGGGTCCTCCGGGATTTATTGGTGGGAGGGGTGGCATGGTGGGAGGTGAGGATCTTGACTGTATCTTCACTTCCACAGGCGATCCAGGCATTGCTGGCACCCTTTTCTCAGGACCAACTGTAGAGAATAAAAGGAATGAAGGTCAAAGTTTTCTGTAAGATAATAAAAATGTGACAATAATTTGAAACACCAACACACTTTCCTAGAGAATTGAGAAGGTAAGAAGATGCTTAGTTTAATAGGCTGAATGGTGACACCCAAAAAGACACTAATCCCTTGAACTGTGAATGTTTCCCTATTTCGAAAAGGAGTCTTTGAAGATGTAGTTAAGCATCTTGAGAGGAGATCATCCTGGATTACCTGGGCGGGCTCTAAAGACAATATGAATGACACCCTCATAAGAAGAGCTGAAGAGACACAGAGGGAAGACTACTTGAAGACAGGCCTAGTCACACACAGAGAACACAATGTGACGGTGGAGGTGGAGGTTTGGAGTGATGCGTCTACAAGTGAAGGAGCGTCAAGGATTATCAGCAGCCTCCAGAAGCTAGGACACAGGTATGGAAGAGATTCTTCCTCTGACTCCCCAAAAAGGAATCAACCATGTTGATACCTTGATTTGGGACTTCTGCCCTCCTGAATTATGAGAGAATATTGTTGTCTTAAGCCACCTTGCTTGTGAAACTTTGTTACAGCAACCCCAGAAAGCTAAAACAAGGCAACAAAGTCAAGGGGTGACATGACCTGAAAGTTAACAGTGAGAATAGTGGCTGAGAAAAGAAGAAAGCAGGTTATAAATTCAGCTTATCTCAACTGCATTCTTTCTTGACTTCTCCTTATAAATGTATCAAATTAATAGGGGAAAATAAAATATGACTATCTAGACCAGTAGGTGTCAAACGCATAGCATGGAAATAGGATAATAATCAGTTGTGCATAAATTACTATGAATGATGAAGTAGTAAATTTTTACACATAACAATTACTCTAAGTAGGAAAAAAAAAGGTAAATTCAACAGCTCTGGCATCAGGCATGTAAATGCCATTTATGATGTATAGTATCCAAAAAGATGAAAAGCAGAGCTGATTCTAAACTAAGCACAGGCTACTTTACCCATGGGGACAATTCGTAAGTAGCTATTTGATAATACCAGGCAGTAAGAAATTCCACAAAGAGAAATTTGATAGATTAAACTTAATGATGTTAGAATTCGGTTCGAGCTAATATGAATAAGACTTGATACTGAGGAGTGATATTCTAATATCTTCAAAAAACTATTTTTCCCCATTAATGGGAACTTGTTATACACTTAGTTAATAATAGGGCCAGTGCTACCATCATCACCTTTAAATTGAGCTATTTCCTCTCAGTTAAGTCTAAACTTTTCATTTAAGTGCTATGTATTTATTCTCCAATAACTGCTGGATTCAATTTAAAGTACAAGAAATGGACACCAAACGTTTAAATGAGAATGTTAAATCAAAGATTTCTTTCTGTGAGATGATTGCTATAAACACACTACATACAATTCATGACACTGGCAACAAGGCACATCTTTTGTCCATTCATGAGCACCTTCTAATGAGGAAAATATCCCCAAATATTCTTTTCACGCTTCAGTTTGTAATGGCCACATTCTGGGAGGAGATATAATGAATACAGAAAGTCAATCAAGGAAGTAATGCTCCCAAGTTACAAATCCCCTGACAAAAACGTACAGCTCTCTGAGAGCCATGTGGGTAACACTCTGTCAGCCCTTCCCATCTCTCTGTCCAGGACATTTTCTTTGTGAAATTGATGGTAGTCCTGTACCTGATTAGTAGACTAACGAGCTGTTGCGTTTGTCTTTTTCCTCTTGACAGTATTTCCTCAATGCCCTTCAGAGAACAGTTGACACGTTTCCAGCTCTTCCATCTGGGGCCCAGCTTTCTGGAGGGTGGGGGGAGAAGGGAAGGAAGGAACTAACAGTTGTCTCGCACTGTTATGTGTTGTGTATAGTGTGCAAGAACCTAGAGGGAGCCTTTCTTCAGACCACCTGCCTTTAACAGCAAGGGCGCCAAAGGCCTGAGGAGGGCTTAGCAGTGAGATGTGTTTTAACATTCAGCTCTTGGCAGAATGAAATACTCAAAGCAGCCCAACTGTAGAACACTGAATAACATACCACTGAAAGCTCAGATACTGGGTAAAACCCAGCCTAAAAAGTACTGTTTACAGATTAACACTACCCATCTCTTGTTCACACCACTACTCACAACTCTGCAACACTAGTGTTATTCCTCACGTTTCAATAACACTGTCTAGTAGAAAAAGCATGTGTATGGAGATAAGAGATTTGATGTGAATTCTTATTCTGTTACTCACAACCTACATGAATCTTATCAAATCATTCCACCTTTCTGCGCTTATTTTCAACACATGTAAAATGGGAGATGATAAGACCTACCTGCAGGAAAGACATAAGAATTAGAGCCAATGCCTAAATTAGTGCTAGACTAAAGATGGTTGTATTCAGTAAATAGTAATGATGATTAGAAAACAGGAAGCCAGGGCCGCTTCAGCAGCCCAGGGTTTCGCCGGTTCTGATCCTGGGCGCAGACACGGCACCGCTCATCAGGCCATGCTGAGGCGGCATCCCACATGCCACAACTGGAAGGACCCACAACTAAAAATACACAACTATGTACCGGGGGGCTTTGGGGAGAAAAAGGAAAAATAAAGTCTTAAAACAAACAAACAAAAAAACAGGAAGCGTAGTGTCAAGTTCGGATTTACCCTAACTAGCCATGTGACCATGTCCAAGTTAATATCAATATTGGTTTCCCATGGAAAATGGGTGTGCTATCAACAATTAATCCACCTAATACCTCCAAAGTAGGTATTTTAACCTTCTGCTTGGTGGCTGAGACATGTCTTCATTTCATCACTGTTAGAGTGACTTCATTTCTGAATTTTCATGAAACTGATGCTCATGTTTTATATTCTAGCTGGATTCCTTCAAAGAACCAACCATATTTTGAGCTCTTTTTAATTCCATAGAACGTTAGATAAAGTTCAAGGAGAAGAAATTCCTTTCTCAAGTGTGACTTGAGCCCATAAACACCACTGCTCAGACTATCAAAGAGACATAAAGTCTTCATTCCCAGAAAATCAAAATAACGCTTAGTTTTGTCATAAAGGTTCAACTTGATTCTAAACATAGATTCTAAGATTCAAAGTGACAATTTATTCATTCTATGAGTTTGTGCTTTGGTTATTTTGAATATTTGGATAAATATGGATTAAAAAATAAAATTCATGGGGCCGGCCTGGTGGCAGAGTGGTTAAGTCCAGCTCTGTTTTGGTGAACTGGGGTTCAAGATTCAGATCTCAGGCGTGGACCTACACCACTCAAAGCCATTCTGTAGTGGGGACCCACATACAAAAAGAAAATAGAGGAAGACTGGCACAGATGTTAGCTCAGGGCAAATTTTCCTCAAGCAAAAAGAGGAGGATTGGCAACAGGTGTTAGCTCAGGGCCAATCTTCCTCACCAAAAATAATAATGATAATAATAAAATAAAATAAAACAAATATATAACCACATGCCCTTTCAAAATCACTGATGCTTCAACACCTGACCACATAAAGCCAAATAACTTGAGCTAAAGACGAGGCGTGAATATGGAAAAGCATGCCTGAATAATTACTTTACTTCTCCATTTTGCAAAACGCTAAGGATGTCATGAAAACAGAAAACTGAAGGAAAGAACAAAGTAACGAATACTTCTCTGTGTGATAGCAGTGCTATTTTTTTTTTCTCGCATAGGAGCTTGAAGAATCAAACACGAAACTAAAGAGTGGAACTATTCTGTCCTCTAAGAGAAAGGAATACTGCACATAAACACAAACATCCCAGACAAAAGCTACTTGGGAAGAAGGCTACGATAAACCGCCCACAAGCGGGGGCGTTTACAAATCATTATAAACTGCTTTCTCTTTAAGGTTTTTAAAAATTACTTTGAGGCTGATGAAGGAACAATAAATAGAAGAGGTATAAAAATGAGATAAGAAAAATGCAATTTTGTGAAAGGAAGAGCTATCCAGAAACAGCTGAAAAGACGGGAAACTCCCAGGGCTGCAGGGAGGAAGAATGTTTAGATGAAAGAAGGTGAAGATGTGAAGGGTGCTCTATCACTTACTAGTTGCCTGACGATGGTCTTCCTCATCCATCCCTGGGGATAACACTTACGACACAAGGTTACTGTGGAGGGTACCATAATATATATAATAATGACTGGTAATAGTAAACACTCTTACATGTTTACTTGAATCAGATTAAAAATCTGTTAGAATTAATCATTTTATTTGGCCATTGAGATGTTGACCTATGCTGAACTTTGGGTAGAAGATATGGTCAAGTGCTCCGACTGTCATCACTGAGAAGAATGAACTGAATATAGATCTTTCAGATGTATAGTATAGTGATCATTCCAAACAGGCTGACTGAGGAAGCCACTACATCTGTTTCTTTAAAACAAATCAGACTTTAACTAAGAAACAATTTGGAAGGTTTAAACAGAATTATCTTTGGGGGCAGAGACAAAGGTAGATGATTTCCTTTTTTATATGTATAAGCATACATTTCCATGGTTCAAAAATCAGTATGACATAAAAAGAAATACTCCTTACTCCTGTCCCTACATAACCCATCCCATAGGTAACCATTTTAATTGGTTTCTTGAGTATCCTTCCATTCTTTGTCTGTGTACAAATGAGCAAACATAAATTCTTATCCCATCCATTTATACAAAGGTTGCATAATTACATTAAACTGAGTGTCCCCAATAATCCCCTCTCTGTAGCTATGCCTTTTGAAATGCATCAGGAAGTGGGGTCATTTCCCTATCCTCTGAATCTGGCCAGGCCTCTGACTTGCTTTGGCCAACATAATGTGAGGGAAATGACAGACTGCCAGTTCTAAGCCTCTCTTGGAACCCTGACCCTGACATGAAAGCAAATCCAGACTAGTTTGCTGGGGCGTGAGACCACAAGAAACAGAGATGAGATGTACCACCAGTTAAGGCCAGCTAATCCCTAAACATGTAAGAGCCTAACCTAGTTGAGTCTGATCTGCAGCTAGCTGACTGCAGTCATATGAATGAGTGAGCACAACCAAGAGCAGAACTGCCTCACTTATACTCATAAGGAAAAAAATAAAAAGCTTATTGTTTCAGACTACTAAGTTTTAGGATGGTTTTTATATATAGCAATAGACCAATAGGCAAGAGATTTATAACACATACAAGCTGTACTGTTCCTTGGTTTCTTGTTGTTCTTTTGTTTTGTTTCATCATTTTACACTATGTCCTGAAATTCTTAATTCCACAACCTTTTTTTGTTAATGGATGCATGATATTCCACTGTGTGGATGTACCACAGTTTATTTAAACAATCCCCTACTGATGAATAACTGGATTGTTTCCAACCATTTGTGGCTGAATTTTGAGACTCTCCAGATCCCATGACTGCCCTATATTTGCCAGGCTTTGAGAAAGAGATAAAAGAAGACAGGGCCCTGAGTTATAGAAAAGACAGATATATTAAAATGTGTACAAAGAACTAAGAAAATAAAGTAGAAACATTACTATGTATACAGGCTAGGGAAGTCTTTACAAACCATTAAGCAGTTAACTGGGAAGGCTACATGCACTTTCCAGACAGTATACAGGACAAAAGCATGAAGGATACAGTTTGAATATTGCTCTTAAAGTGGGGATCAGAACCAAGGGAAAAATTATGAAAGATTTCCTTGACCACAGTCTCTCTTTAACCATTGCCAAGGATAAGTAAATGTTCTGAATGTATAATTGTCAGATGAGAGCATTTCCAAAACTGACAGTTCTAACCTGCTAAAGATAGAGGAAAGAACATCAAAATTTCTTTTGCACTTATAGGCTTACAAGGCTGGCTAAACGGATTTGGGCATAGCACATGCTTTATAGATTAAGCATTTCTGATCCTTGTAGCTCTGCCACTAACTTGACAACACATCCAATTTTCTAATAGCATGCAGACTTCATAGGCAGACACAGCCAGGAATAACTGTTTACAATGACAGATAATTTATCATTCAACAAAAATTGAGGCATAAAGATACAAGAAATTAACAGAAAATATTTTACAAGGGACTTTGAAGACAAAGCTCAATTAAAACAAAATTAATGCTGTACTATATATCAATAATTTTTATATATACATAAAACAATATATATCAAACAAATTTTTCCATTCCACATTTATAAATACATAAAGAAAATAAATTTACCTAATATATTCTTTTTTTTTTTAAGATTGGCACCTGAGCTAACAACTGTTGCCAATCTTTTTTTTTTTTTTTTGCCTGCTTTTTTCTCCCCAAATCCCCCCAGCACGTAGTTGTGGGTCTTTCCAGCTGTGGCATGTGGAATGCCGCCTCAATGTGGCCTGACAAGCGGTGCCATGTCCGCACCCAGGATCTGTACAAGTGAAACCCTGGGCTGCCAAAGCTAAGTGCACGAACTTAACCACTCAGCCACGGGACCAGCCCCTACCTAATACATTCTTAAAGCTCAGGGATCAAGGTGGGTGGAGGGTGGGCACAGGAGGTGAAGGGGAGCACTTGTGTGGTGACAGACAAGAAATGATGTGCAAATGAAATTTCACAATGATGTAAATTATTATGAATCTCAATTTTTTAAAAAAACAGGGATCAGCAAACTTTTTCTGCATAGGACAAGACGGTAAATATTTTTGGTACTGTGGGCCATATGGTCTCTGTCACAACTATTCAACTCTGCTGTTGTAGCACATTCTAGACAATAAACAAACGAATGAGCTTGGCTGTGTTACAATAAAACTTTATTTACAAAAACAGTCAATGGACCATAGTTTACTGACTCCTGTGGCTGATTAAAAAAATGGAAACATTCAAATAACTAATTCTTAGCTTATTTCTATGCCTATAAAATCTATTTTACAGCATCCACTCAAATGGTTCATCTGAATAACCTTTTGTTTTCTTAAGGCTGGATATAAAGAGACCTTTACTTATTGACCTCCGAGGAAAATAATATACAAAAAATTATTTGGAAACAGAAAAATTATTTAAAGACAGAATACTAACAGCATGAAGTCAGAGCTGAGGAGTTGCAAAGATGAGGTTAGTTACCTCATAGTCTTCCAAAAATCAGACAGACCTAATAGAAGAACCACAGAGATGACTAGCATACCTGTGAAGGATCACTTACTTCATGATTACACTAATTTCCTCCCTAGTCATCCCTCTTTTCTTTATCTTCTTCTATCAGTGCCATCTGACTCCAGACACAGAGACACCCAGATATAATTAACTCTAACACCTCAATAATAACAAACAATCCAATTTTAAGAATGAACAAAGAATATTTAAAGAGACAATTCCCAAAAGAAGATATACAAACGGGTGATAAGGACATAAAAAGATGCTTGACCTACTAGTACATCAAAGAAACACAGATTATAACACATCAGCAAAAAGCAACACAGTACTGATACATATATCCAACAACATGAACAAATGTCAAAAACACTA